AACAACTGTGGCGTTGAGTACTGAGTTAATGAAGTATGATTTATGTCTTAATAGTAAATTTTGAATGGTTTGAACAATTGTATTACAAGAGTCTATCTATATTTTGATTAAAACTGAAATGTAGTTTATAACACTTTTCTGAGCTGCTTTTAGACAATACATGTACATGGTTTTAAACATATTTTATAAGGCGATTACTACCTTTCCCCTCCCCCTTACTTCAGTAGTCGGTGTCTTAATTAACTCAAAGCTCTTCTCACTTTTAGCAGTCGTATATGTACTTTCATACTGAACTATTCACCTTGTAAACGATGTAAATGAAAATACATATTATTAGCTATTATATGTTCATTTTTGTACTACCTAAACGTCGGGTTTAAACCATTATATATTTTGGTTGTATTTAAATAGTTGTAATGTAACAATACCCTTGCATGACTCGTCATTCTTTGCTTATTTATAACGGAAAATCCTCTTTTTATAGATAAGAATAGATCTAATGAATTGGATTTTTAAAACGACGAGTTGGTAAGAAAAATGACACTGGTTCGATAAATTATCATGGCTTATGTATCTAAAGAAATTGATGTCGACTACATAACACATTTGAGTGAGGTTGCTCACACTCGTAAATTTCTTTAATTGAAATGCAGATAAAGAAGTGATTATATCTGACGTCCGAATATGTTTTGTGTCACTCAATACTTTTAAGAAGATAATTGTATAATTGATGTAGTAATCGTTTCCATTATTGTACGTTTCGTCCGATCGCAAACGCCAATAGAAATGTAAACAACAGTTGATAATATTTCGTGAAAAAAAGGCAAGATGAAATATAGATATCGTGAAAATTGCATAAAAAATCAAGGACAATGCTCACTGCTGAATAAAACATCACCTGATTTTAAAGGGTTTTATTTTCAGCACCAAAATATCAAATCGAATGGTTTCTGTCAGATACTAGTGACAATATAGGAGTGCAGACTATTTTTATTTACAAAAAGAAATGACAATTTAACTGCTTGATTTATTTTCCAATCTTATTAACAATATACGACACAGTTTTTTAACAATTATTTTAAAGAATAATTTTTCAAAGACATTTTTTCTTAATGATACTATTGTATTTTTTTCTTGATATTAATGATCCTGTTTTTCAGTTAATGGACCTACATTATGCAGTTAATTCGATTTTTCATTAGTTTTGGTTTTAAAAAGCAGAAGTGACTTAAACCTTTCAAGAATATATTTCTTATTTTCCTTATAAATAAATGTTTCTTTCGTTCATATCTCGCTTTCATTCCGCTGATTTTTATTTCGAATCTTGGTTTTGAAGACCATTCAACATTATCAATATAGATTATATCTTATACTACTTCAATTGAAATAGAGAGCGCGACATTTATATAACAGGACAGAGTATTAATTGATTTATAAGTGCAGAACTTCCGGGTAGAACAAGACAATATCAAAGACCTTTGAAGGTATGCTCAGTACCGGCTGCTTTGGCTTTTATTTATTTTTTTTTTTTTTCTAGAATCAATGTGTATTGACTTCATATGACTTACATGTTCCAAGTAATGTTTTACAGAAAGTAACTAACAATCCTTAACTTTTCATAAAATTAAATTTCGATAAAACATTCAAAATCACGACGTTATCTTACATTTCGTTAAAAAATAAACGAGTTCAATTGATCAACCATGATATAACAAAGGCAGCAGGAGCCATCACTTGGGCGTCATGGTTTCAGGAACAAATAATACAACTTCCTTATTTGCATTTTCGCAAATATCATGTAATATAACATTAAGAGGTCTTGCATGTGTCTTCATATTTGAACCACATTTTAATAAGATTTAGGGACGTAAGCAAACACCTACAGTAAGAGTAAGGACAAAGCCATATACTTTTACACTAGTGGAATTTCCGTGCGTGTATGTAAATAAATACAAACATTTAGGTTGGTAAGTTATGAGACCATGCCATGAAAGTGTAAATATATATCAAATATCAATGTAGTTCAGGTGATGTCTATTTTAGGTAGTCAGGTTTGCCAAGCTGTAAATACATCAATGCCGATAATTAGAGCCAACTTAGTGGAAACGAACGACATTGTATTGAAGATAAATATACTACGGAGTTTATAATATATAATTGTTAATAAAGTTGAATCCATTAAAAGTAATTGCATTTTATAAAAAAGGACAGCTTTTCTATACAATACCAAAACAGTTTTTTTTCTCTTCGAAATACTGTAGAAATTATTCTTTCGTTGTGAACCTTTTACCTAATTATTTCCTCTCAGCAATAACATCTAAAGGACGGCGTTTCTTATTATGGTGTTGAGGACATCTCGTCAGATCTCATACAATGTTACATGTCGACAGTTTTTCCAATTTAAACATTTTACAATACTCACAATAGGTTGACAAGGGACGTTTTGGAGGCAGAAAGGTACAAATAAACATATCATTTTACTCACTCACCCCGACTAATTAATCGTTGTAATATGATACTTACCAAATACCAATACATTTCTTATAGCAATGGACATGTTATTCGCTTATTTAAAAGGAGTATTTCAATTTTGAAGTATTGTTAAGCGAATTTTATTTGAATACTTTTAGAGGTATAACGATAACTAAATGATTTGTTATTATTGTTTAACTTATCAAACATATCATATCGTCAAAAAAACCATGAAAAAACACTTAATAAAAAAATGAAAAATTCTAAAAATGCACAAGCTTACAGAGAATTTAAATCAAAGTGATACTGCGTAACACTGCAATTTAAATATTTTTTATATGCAATTAGAATGTAATTAAATCTGTTTAAAGTAAGTTTATTTTGCAAAGGTAAATTCCTGTTTTTAAGATCATATATTGGTAGTTCAATGTTGAGAAATCTAATATTATCAACATTCATCTGTCTATTGTGGGTATTTAAAATACGACTTTCAGAATAATGAAAAAAATTAAACCACTTCACACTTGTAGTTGTTTGATTAAAAGAACTAAAATCAGTAACGACCATTATGATCAAATTATAGCACAAAAGTTGAAAATGTTGCATTTTTCTGAACGGTTCAAAAGAGTTCCTCGCCTACGACTATACGGATGGTATTCGGGCTCTGTAAACACTTGACCCTACTCACTAACGATCGGATCTACTGTCATGCGATATTGACGTAAGCGGGAATTCTGTTGTATTGTCAAAACAGGTAAAATCTCAAACACAAATCTGGTAGATTCCTCCACTTCAAGATGTGTACATTACAACTACGCTGTATACAGTCCGTGGGGTGGTGTAATTGTCATGACGGCTTTTTAATTCTTAATTGTCAAGTGGACATTATTCTATACTGAGCTTTCATCGCGTGTGATGTCATTGAGTCACTAGTACTATGCATATATGGTATTCCTCAAATGTTCTATGTACGTTTCTTCTTCATGTTCCCATGATCTCGCAGCAAACCATCAAATAAAGTTTAAAGTCGTCTACATGATGATTGAATACATTTATTACATCTCGTGTTTGAATGTCGATGAATACCTATTTACAAGACACATGTTATAAGTGTCTCCTAGCCTTATCTAAAGGTCGATCATGTTATAAACAGGATGAAAAAATTCAAATCCATATGTCTTGAGGCTCTAAACCTGCATATCATATTTATAATTCTTGTGTTTTGTGGCAAGGTTCCGAATACCTACCCGCGCCTAGCTTTCTTTGGAAATTATTCAACATTTAAACTTATGTAAATTATTGCTTTTTACGTTAGAGTACCTGTTGTTTTAAGTATTCGTTTTCAACAATCGTCTCCTAGATTTCAACAACTTAGTCCATACTGAACAATCACTACCAAGTCAGAGAAGGACGAAAGAGTCGTGTGACACTGTTTACATCATTATTTAACTGTACTGTCTTTGACTGTGTGGTTTATTTTACATTTGTGTGGGGAATCTCTATTCACGGGTGCGTCCTTGTGCCATCGTTGAACAGGCAATAGTATTGAACCGTTGTTGTTTGTTTGATAGGGTGTTGCATTGTTCAACAAATTTACGTTCTAACAACAGCTAAGGTCGTATACATGTGGTATCAGTGGCTGACTGGGTTACTGATGGGCGTGTTAATTGTTTCATTATACTGCTATGCCATGGCAAGAAAAGATGAAATCTCACCAGCTTACATTATCTGCTAACTGGTATCTATTCCTTGTAGCATCCCATTCAATGCACAAAGTTCCATTTTAAAGACTTTCGTATGTCATCGGAAAGAACTCACAGCCCCCTTTTTAAGACCTGAAATGAAGTAAGTTGTGAGAGATATAAAAAGGATGAGAATTTTAGGAGACAGAGAAAAGACCCTAATACCAATTTTAAGTAACATTAGTTGTCGCCTTTTACGATAAGGTAGTGGTGCCAACAAGTTCAGGTTTATGCTATACGGTGATGATGATGGAAACCTGTAAACAAAGCAACATTGTGTCCTAAATTATGAGAGTAATCGATAGTAGTAATGACAAATGTATTTCTCGTAATACCGAACATGTGCACTTCTATATTTTAACTTTTGAATTTTATAAGGTGAATAAATTCCCTTCCTATTATTTTTATGACATTTCATCGATCTTTGAAATTTATGAATTCATAAACTCAGTGTAACAATAATTTTCCTTATTTAGAAATTCATGCTATTTGTAGTCGTGCAACCGAATATTTCTAACGATAATTATTTTCATGGTTTTGCATTTTTATAAACATAGAAAACAAACATCTTTAGCTTTTCTAATTTTGAAGGCAAAATATATCATTGCTCCAACGGACCAACTCTTACATGTCACCGATAAGACAGAAAGGGCTTTCCCTTCTGGGAAATCTTATCTCATTATCCTGTAGATATTTCCCTTGTTTTGCCCACGTTTATCGACTCAATGGTTGCTAATTGTTGTTGGACAAATGACACCATGCACTCATAATACCTGCCATTTCTAGGTGCTGCTCCCGTCTGGACCACGCCCTCCACCTCGACGTCTATCTCCATCAGTGAGAACACAGCCACTGCTGTCTCCGTCTATCAGCTCACGGCTACTGACGCGGATGGCGACAGTATCACCTACTCCATATCGACCGGTTCAGGTTTCAGTGTCATCGGTGACGTAGTCTACACCAATACGGCGTATGATTACGAAACAACGACGTCATACGCGTTACAGTTCAGGTAAGCACGACAAACATTCTCGTTAAATTCGTTAGAATGGTCAAGCAAGATGTGTTTTGGCAAGCTGTTTTATGGTTATTAATCCATGAGATTTTAGATAGAGCTTATACTGTTATGATTAGAAACGTGATAGGATCATTGCAATGTTTGATAAAACTTTTGCGTGGAATAGCCATGCTATTTTTTCAATTTTCTGGCATAAGCTTTGCGATTTTCATGGGACAACAAAGCCAATATTTTTTCAATGCTATCAGTATCATGTGACATTCTGATATTGTTTGTATGTTTGTATTGTTTTTTTATATTGCAATGTAATGTTTTATAACATTTAACTACAACTTATTGGGAGGTTTAACAAGATGAATCGGTCTATTGACAATGTCATATTATGTGATATTAGGTTGCTTACATGCATTTGAGTTAAACTTCCAATATATAAATCTTATTAATACTTTTGTCAAGGTGAACTGATTAATTAATCATATAATTAAGAATTTCAAAATGAATTGAGTAGAGTATAACTTTATCACATCTTTGGAATCACGGGGTTAGCGCACTGCCCCATCCAGGATTCAACACCTTAAGCCCATAGCATCACTGACAAGTCCTAGAAGGACCAAACAACTATTTCATGCAGTTTAATTGATGATTTGGCAATACACTATGTAATTCTAAATTTAGATGAAAAGGTACTATTACTCTTTGTCTCTTGCTCATTACTGCTAACTTGCTCATACCTGTACTATTTGATAACGATGAGTGATATTATTTTTCAGTGCGACTGATGGCGTTACCCCTGTTACAAGTCCTACACTGACGGTGTCCATCACCGACTACAACGATAACACACCCACCTTTAGTCCCGCCATCTATTCTAAAACTATCCCAGAGGGGTCCGCCTCCGGTATGTATGGGTCGTATTTAACCATGAAATGTTAACAGTATATGTAATGATAAAAGCTAAATTATACTTATCTATACAAACTATTCTGATTGAGGTACTCTCTGGTGTTAGTCGGTAATCTATGCACCTTACATACGTTGACATTAAGTACTTTTACCTCGCTGATGATTATATATAATTGTGATACAGTGTCGCTGAAGTAAAGAACTACTAAATGTAATCACTTCGACATCACATTAAATGTGTAGCGAATTAACACATTTGCAAAGACATTGAAATCACACAAGTTTATAGATAAACATATGCTTTTTTAAAAATCTCAATGTTTACAACGATATGCGGAAGTATTACCCTGTCCCTAACTCCATGTGTGTATTCAAGCATGGAACTGCTTTCAGATATGCATTTATGGGCATTATGAATGCCAGCTGGATAAAAACAACTTCAATAAAGGTCGAATACTGTTGACCTTCATAACGCAGGAATGCACATACGAATGTAGTTCAAAACTTATATCTCTCTATTTCAGTTATAACAGAAGACGAATTCAATATTTGTACATTTCTTATACTATGTCTACTCTGTTGGCAGTTCATGGGCTGGTAATACACGGCTGATTTTGGTGAGGTTTCACCGTAACAATGCTGTGCAATGGTATATGTAAGATAGTATTTCCAAAGATATCCAAATGTCTGTTCACAGCGACATCTATTGCGGCCCTGACTTGTACCGATGCTGACAGTGGTACTAACGGAAACTGTGCACTCAGTATACAGAGTGGGGACGATGCCTCAGCCAAGTTTACTATTTCCGGTACCACTCTACAAACAACAGGAACAGCCACCGACTACGAGTCGCTCTCCTCACAAAACTATATCTATAGCCTCGTTGTGATAGCTACGGACACAGCCACTGCTGGATCAGATCTAACCGGAACTGCGTATGTTTACGTCACAATAACGGGGACAAATGACAACACTCCGGCGATATCGGGGACCACGCCCTCGTCAATATCGGTAGGCGTATGCTTTGTCTATTAAACCATACATTATTTATTTGCATGTCCTTTTCTACTATCCATTACGAATGTCACTGTGATGTCAATCATATTCCTATCATTAACGTTTTGTAATAAGAATCAATGTAAGGGGTGACAAAATGGTTTCAATCAACAAGTTATTCTTTGTCTGTAGTATTTTTGTCCTTATGGACAAAAATTAAACAGCCTTAAGACATAGAATTATATTAAAGACCTTTTAAAAGTTGTCTTTTTGAAAATACGGAGAGAATCTATTTCAATTGTCACGAAGAGACAGAATATTCACTGTTTCTTGTATTTATTTGGTCGCTTATTTTCAAATTACATTCATCATAGTGACAAAAAGAATAGAGCTTTTCGTCTTCTGTCTTTTTGTGGTTTTTTCATTTGTCTAGATTTCGTGCATTTGTACATAAATTATTGTCTATATTAATTGACATTTTGCTGGAAGTCCTGAATTAGAACCGTTCTTGTATTTGTAAATCTGTCGTTTAAGTTGTTTGTCGTCTCTTGACCTACAATGCCGTTTTTTACACTAGGTTGCTGAGAACAGTGCTGTAGGGACTACAGTAGCGACTATACAGGCGTCAGACGCTGACGATGGCGACGATGGAGTGCTCACATACAGCATCATAGGTATGTAATGGCTGTCACACAACCATAAACAAAGAAATGATATTGATATATATTTTTATAACATAAGAAGAGATAACTGATTGGTCCGTTGGTTTTATCTGTAATCACTGACGTCACCGTTAAAGTGCACTCAAATATCATTTATGTATATTCTATATTACAACAGAATAAATTATCATTTTCATGTTTTACACATGATATAGGTGGTAACTCCGAGGCACGGTTCGGTGTGGGCACTACGACCGGAGAGATATATCTAACACTGGCCCTCGACTATGAGACGACCACATCCTACTCTCTTACTGTACAGGCGACTGATGGCGGTTCACCATCAGATAGTGCCACGTCTGTAGTCACAGTGACCGTCACTGACGTGAACGATAACACTCCAGCCTGCCCCTCTTCTAGCTACACTTACAGTATAGCGGAGACAAGCTCATCCGGGGTTTGTATATTGACGACAAATACATATCTTTTTTATCTCTTCACCGTTAGAAGAATGGTAGGATTCATTTTTGGAAATTTTCATTAACACTGATTTCAAATATGTAATGTAATCATACAAGTACAGATAATTAATCAACATGTCCATTGTTATTTTTTTGGTGAACAGACAGCGGTGACCACTCTAGCCTGCACCGATGCCGATGGAGACTCTGTGACGTACTCAATAACGTCCGGTAACTCCGATGGATGCTTCTCTGTGACAGCTGCTGGCGCATTGTCCACCGCTTGTAGTATGTACCATAATATTCAAACATATTATGAAATATAAACCTCAATTAACATATTCTATCATAGGAAATCGATTGCACTAAATTTAATTTACTTTAATTTTCCAGCTTTGGACTATGACACCGGTAGTCAGTCCTACACTCTCGCCATCGATGCCAGTGACGGGACAACATCTACATCCGTAACTGTTTACGTTAGTCTCACCGCCGAAAACGACAACACTCCCGCATTCGCTTCAAATCCTACCGTCAGTCTCGCGGAGAGTACAAGTATTGGAACAGCTGTGACAACATACACTGCAGCAGATGATGATTTATCTCCACATGATGTCGTGTCTTATGGCATTACAGCAGGTATAAGGGAGATGGAATTATGAAATAAAACAGTATGTGAGATAAACATATATACATTGTATAAAACCATCCGAACGTTGTAACTACTGTAGACTGATTTTCGCGAGTGATTTATTTTCATTGTTTTCGTAAATTTTTAACCAACGATCTCATATATCTATGTAGTGTTAAAAACTGAAATTTTACATGAACATTTTACTATAAGTATTTTCTCAACGAAATCAAGTGCAATCGAATTGTATTCTTTTGAAAAAGGACAAAATTTGAGTTCCATCAAAATATGATTACACGGTTTAAAAGTCACTGTTATACTATTATGCTTTGATTTTAGTTACAAACAGCGGGTCAACTCTGTTCGCTGTTGACTCCACCTCTGGAAGCATAACGCTGACAAGTGCTTTGGACTATGAGACAGCTACAAGTTACGTCATTACTGTTGAAGCTGTGGATGGTGGAGGAACGACGGTAAGGCCATCTTATGTCCTAATAAGACAAAAAGTCTATGCCTGGACCATTTAAAATGTCTGAAGTGATATTGTAAAATACTTAAGAAAATATTGCAATGTTGTAAAAATGAATAAACAAATGATTACTCAATGCTGATTTTTTTTCAGGCAACTGGTTCCGTGACAGTTTCAGTAACCGATGTAAACGACAACTCTCCAATATTCTCTCCATCAGCGTACACAGTAGAAATAGCAGAGACAACATCGGCTTCCGCAACGGTACTGCAATAATTATTCAAATATAAGTTTTAACCAGATTCTTCATAGCAGTTATATGTAAATTAAATTGATTTTATCATTTGCAATTAGACAACACCTGTAACGTTTACATGAGAAAATTAAAGAAAAACGACGAAAAATTATGTATTTAAGATTTATCACAAACATTTTATATCTATTTTAGGTTGTGACTACAACATGCGCCGACGCCGACGCTGCAGATACTGTCACGTATTCTATTGCTAGTGGGAATTCAGACAGTAAATTTTCTGTCTCAGCATCAGGGGAAATACTTCTGGCAGCAAGTAAGATAATACCAATGATATTTTACCTTCTTTGATATCAAAACTTGCCAAAGAATCACATCTGTAACACATTTTTACAAAATACACACATGAAACTACAATTGTAATACTGTCCTTACAATAACTAATGGTAATTAATGAAAAGTAATTACGAACGATGAAAAATTGACATCATTTCTAGTGTAAATTACACATACGATAAAAATATTTCACCATTATTATTGGTCTTTTTTCAAATCCTTCTGCTATGTGTTTATCGTATGCATACCTATTAGGAAACTTACGGGCCTGCACATATAACATCAAAATTCTTATTAAAAAGGAAATTTATCTTTTCCATTTTTATCGGTAATTGGGGCAAATTCATTGACACGAAAAAGTGGGATTACATGACGTCTGAAATGATTGCCCGAGACATGAAAAAGGCACATAATGCTATATTTATATATTTTTCACTATTCCAGCCATTGATTACGATACGGAGACGACGTTTTATACACTCACCGTGGAAGCCACAGATACCAGTACCACGGCCACCGCTACTGTTAAGATAACAGTCACTGGGACCAACGAAGGGACCCCCACTTTCGCCAGTAACCCGACAGTCTCCCTGGCCGAGAGCTCCAGTGTTAGTACCGCGGTGACGACGTATGCAGCTACAGATACGGACGCCTCACCTCATGATATCTCTACATACGCTATCACAGCAGGTGAAGAAACATTTGTACTGGTATAGAACAACATATTTTCATTCTAAAATATTAACATATATTGTATATATCACATGTGTTATATATGTCTCTGATCAGACTAAACCATATTACTACGTAATGACAAGGTTTAAGAAGTGTACTTGAAAAAGCCATATCGATAAACACACAAAAGTAGATTTACATACAACATAAATTTCTACTATTTGTAGTATCGAACTCGGGTAGTGCCTATTTCACTATTGATGCGACTACTGGCAGCATAACTTTGGCCAAAACACTGGATTACGACACGACAACAGACTACACGATCACAGTGACGGCTACTGATGGCGGCGGACTCGTGGTAAGCACAGCTAACCATTGTATGCTTATTGTATCTCTTAGAAAATTCCACTCGGCCAAATTTGTGTAAGACACATGGTATGTTATTGCTGCTAACAATGACGTTTCGTTTGTGTAGGGTACCGGAACAGTGACACTGTCGGTGACAAATGTTAATGACAATACCCCGGCCTGTCCTTCGTCTTCATACACGTTTTCGTTGGCGGAAACAACTTCGTCTGGGGTGAGTAAATTACTATTAATTTGTAATCCCATATTTGTAAGTAAATAGTACTCATTTTGTTAAGTTTTTAAAATAATTCAAGCCCATGCTGTATTCAATTAATTATTTCAATAGATCACTGCGCACTGTACATCTTGAGTACTCGCCGGTTTTAGATAGGTCACGTTCCATGTTATTGTGTCTCTCTTTGAAATCGCATAATTATTTCTTTCCAATTAGTTTGCTTTGTGTCCGCATATTCATGGCTTTCGAGTATGCTTGTGTTGTGTGATGGTGTGATTCGGTTGGCGAGGTTAAATGTATAATATAGTGTAAGATATATTTAAGACGTATTTTGTAAGAATGTATTCATTTAGCCTTGAAATTCGGAAAAAATCTCTCTCTCTTAATTAAAATGATATATGTATATGATTATTTTAGCCGTCTTGTAATGTATATATGCAATTGTTTTTCTTCTAAAGGAAAGGGCGTTAATAAAGTTATTGAAACTTGTTCCCAATCCTTTTGCTTAACGACAATAACATGTGTTTAAACTTAAAAAATGACTGAGCTTCCTCCGCCATTAACTGCCTTCTAAAATTTCACCAACCCCACCGCCTCATTGTTAGTGTACAGACCTAGACGGACGTAACCGGTTTGTCATTAAGTTCTATTCATGATTTGGCATATACTAAGTTTATTGTTGTTTGTAACGTGAAGACGAGTATGCTTTTTGCAGAAGTTTGATAAAGATGATAGAAATCATTGAGCGATGATTGACTAGAGTTCATATCATTACAGACAACAGTGACGACACTGGCTTGTACAGATGGTGATACGGGAGCCACTTTGGCCTACACAATTACCTCAGGGAATGCAGATTCCTGCTTTAGTCTAGCAAGTGCATCTGGAATATTGACAACAGCATGTAGTAAGAACAATGTTCAGTTGACATTTTTTTCTCGGGTTTTAATTTTTAAATTCTGTATATGGCTACAGCAATAACTACGACTTAATATTACTAGAGTTTCTCTCCTTCTTCTATCGATAACAGTAAAGGAGTATATTGCATATCAGTGTTCTATATAGCTACACCCAATAAAATACATCTTTGAATCAATAAGCAGTATCCTTTTACAGGCATCGGGTGAACTTTGAAAATAACAAAATATGATTGATGACACTAAAAGAAATAAACGTTATTCATATCGAAAATGCTTTCTCTAACAGGTTTAAATAAAAGTTTTTTTATTATTTAAAGCCCTAGATTACGACACCGGAAGTCAGTCGTACAGTTTGGCTGTAGAAGTCAGTGACGGTAGTTTGTCCAGTACTGTTACCGTAGACGTCGTCCTCTCAGCCGAAAACGACAACAATCCATCATTTGCCTCCAATCCTACCGTCAGTCTCGCGGAGAGTACGAGTGTTGGAACAGCCGTGACAACATATACTGCTTCAGATGATGATTTATCACCTCATGATATTGTATCATACGACATAACGGCAGGTACATGGAATTTATAAAACATTTTTTGAGATTAAGGTTCTATTTGAAAATAACAGAGACTCAACAGAATCATAATAAATATGTTGTCATGGTTGAAAGTTAGTAAAAAATATAGTTGTTTAACCCATGACCGTGTGGTGTTTCGTGACAGGTTTTCTAATGTTGTTGTAATACTAAATCTTTCAACATAGTAATCAATTCAGAGCAACCAATGAGTCATTTGATATAATTGAGGGTATACTTTACACTAAATTATTTTATTCAACATATAAAACTTTAAAATATATGAGTAAATGAATTATTTTCTATAATGATATAAAAATAACAACTTTGATTTTTTACTTGGAAATATAAATGCATTGAGAATAACAGGTTGATTACAGTGTTACATGTTTGATGTAAAGTCTATTATTAGAATGTGGACCAATTTATACAATTTCAGTAACCAACAGTGGTACCAGTGTATTCTCTATAGACTCGACCTCGGGTAGTATTACGTTATCCAGCTCTTTTGACTATGAGACGACCACAAGCTACGTCATCACAGTGGTGGCTACAGATGGTGGAGGAACAGCGGTACCAACATTATTTACATCTTATTTCATTCATATCATTATTTTAGTCGCGGATAAAATCAATTTTAGATTTGCTTTTTTTCCACTTTTTTTTAACTAAAAACGATCTTGTTTGATGACTGCTTCACTGTAAATAAACCTTACGCAGCTAAATAAGATTATGGTCGTTTTACAGGCTACGGGTTCCGTCACGGTTTCGGTGACAGATGTCAACGACAATTCCCCAATATTCTCGCCATCAGCATATACAGTGGAGATAGCAGAGAGCACATCAGCTTCAGCTACGGTACCGTCATTCTTTTTCCAATTTCAATTTTCCGTTTTTATTGTACGGAGTCATTTTTAGAAAAAAATACTGCTAAAAATGGGAAGCAAATGGTATAACCCAAGAACACCGTTTACTTTCTCTGTGGTTCAATATTAGCTTCAGAACATTTATACACATAAGCGTAGATCAATATGCTTACTTCTTTGGAAAATCCATCAATAAAGATAGAAAGAAAGCATGATATGTAATATAGTAGGCTCTTACAAAGATATTATTTTGATAGGAATTCCTTACAAATTATTCTAAAACACAAACTTTTTCTAATAATAAATTTGTCCACGCAGATCGTGACTACAACATGCGCAGATGCTGACGCAGCCGATACTGTCACATATTCTATCGCGAGTGGCAACACTGATAGCAAATTTGCGGTTTCTGCATCAGGGGAGATAACCCTGGCAGCAAGTTAGTATTATATATTTCATACAAGGTGACATTTCCGTTAGCTAATATTTAAAAAGGTTTTTTTCTTTATTCTTTAGCGCTTGAATGTGATTCCTGAACTTATTCTATATCATACAAACCAATCGCAATCATAAGTAAATGTAATTGTCATCTAGTTCTTGGAATGTATGCTTAACATTATAGTCAATAAAATATAATCTTATCTTAATAAAGCAAAACACTAAAGATACCTATTTTTCACCTTACTAATTATATGGGTGTATTATTTATTAGTTACATACCATTAGAAATGAACTAGGGGAGCATCCTTTTCTAATTTTAAAGCATGTCGCTTATATATATATATATAGTAAAGAATATATAAAAAAGAACAACTATTTGTATATCTAATATTGGATTGGAGGGAATACTAACGCAATATGTAAAAAAGTTGTAATGGCACTGCTATACTGTATATTCATATATCCAAACGAATTATGTTAAGTGTTTTGGTATAAAAAATGGCGGTAATATTGAAAGCTGTCTATGATATCGTGAAGTACCTTTATTGGAGAGTTAACACACTTATCCACTCATTTCAGCCATTGATTACGATACGGAGACGACGTTTTATACACTCACCGTGGAAGCCACAGATACCAGTACCACGGCCACGGCTACTGTTAAGATCACTGTCACTGGGACAAACGAGGGGACCCCCACTTTCGCCAGTAACCCGACAGTCTCCCTGGCCGAGAGCTCCAGTGTTAGTACCGCGGTGACGACGTATGCAGCCACAGATACGGACGCCTCACCACATGATATCTCTACATACGCTATTACAGCAGGTATAAATATACTATTTAATCAGCTGGTCCAGCGTTTCGCCTCTTTTTTTATATCACTATCTAGCTTTATTTGTTCATTTCTAAACCAGTGCTGAATTTGTACATAAACTGGATACCTTTTTTGCCCTCGATGCTTCACATTTTTAGGGATTCACTTGAAGCAGAAAGAATACAGTGTTACAGAACCCCATGGATCGAACGACGATTTCCCAGTTTGATAAGTATTTTTTTCGGGATTATATTGCATATTCGAAAACATAGAAAATATTAATTATAGACAACCTTCACAGTTATGTAATTAATAAAAACGAAGCATCTGTGTATATATACTCGAGGGATAAAGAAACTATGGGTGACACTATTTGCAATATCTTGCGAACGCGTTGTTCAGAAACAATGAAAACTGGTCAGCAACTCTCTAGGTTACAGTACACATAGCAGTGTATCGAATATTACACAATTGTATCGATGGCGATGTCTTCCGGGAAAAGCACAAAACAGGAAAGCTCGAAGACAGCAGTGTTGTGACATTGAGTGTCATAGAGACGCATCATTTTCCGATATTTCTGATATCATAAAACAATGGCACAGTTGATAGAGGTTCAGATTGGTCAAGCCATTGCGATGATTATGCCAGGTCAAAAGCTAAAACAGGTTGTCAGATATTTCATTGTCCATATTTGCACTATAGAACGTTTCGTTAGGCGTCTAAGGGAAACTCGGTGGGTTGCTGACAGACCTTGGCGTCCGCGCGTGACGTCACGTCGCCAGCGTCCTATGACTTCGGTGGCGGCGCATGCCCCCAGAATAACCATTGAGGCAGTGGAGGCGGGTCTTGTTTACTGATAAGTCCCGGTTACACTCTGTTTCGAGCAGACATTCATCGTTGTGTGTACCGACGTCGCGAAGAACGTTTTGCCGACTGCTGCATAGTAGAGACGAATAGGTTTGGGGCTGAATCGTTTTTGGTGTGGGAATGTATATGATACTTCGACCCCTTGCTGTCCCGTTTATGGTAGTAAAACAACCTCACGTCCCAGCAGGATAATGTCAATGTAGCTAGGATCTGTCGCGACTTTCTCACTAACAACAATATCCACCCGCTTTACTGGCCGCCTTACAGCCCCGACCTATCCCATATTGAGCACTTGTGGGACCAACTGGGTCGACAGGTTCGACGACGCTAGTGTCCTCCTGTTACTCTGGCCCTACCGAGAGCAGCCCGCTTTCAAGAATGGGCATCCCAAACATCCCAACGAGGAAGATAATCGCAGTCATGAACTCAATGCCTAAGATAATCAATGCTGTGGAGAGAGCGATTTCAGATTACAGAGTTCACCCGCAATTCTCTTCAATTACTCCAAAATCACTTACCAGATACAAATTTGAAGTTTGTTCTGTATGGATAAATAATCATTCTTACTTCAAAATATTGAACATTATACTCGACGTCTTGCCTAGAACCATCTTCAAAGTTAACACTGCGTTTCTTTATCCCTTGAGTATACATATATTTATTTTGTGGTTACAGTTTCGAATTCGGGTAGTGCCTTTTTCACTATTGATGCGACTACTGGGAGTATAACCTTGGCTAAAACCCTTGATTACGACACGACAACGAGCTACGAAATCACGGTGACGGCTACTGACGGAGGCGGACTCGTGGTAAGTTTGGGAGCAAATATGAAACTCATTGTCTTTTATCATAATAATTGAACCTATCAATCTGATAAAGGTGATATTCCATCCATCTTTTCTGTTGTATCCAACTATTTTCAATGCTTGCGTTATTAATTCGTTGATTTAGGGTACCGGTACAGTGACACTGTCAGTAACCAACGTCAACGACAACACTCCAGCATGTCCTTCGTCTTCCTATACTTTCTCATTGGCAGAAACAACGTCATCGGGGGTAAGTAGCAGGGGACCTTAAGTTATCGGTAACTTCGTAAATGCACGTTTCTGTCGTTTATCATACATTATCATAATTTAATGAACAAGTATAACTGAAACCTCATATCTTTTTAGACTACAGTGACGACACTCGCTTGCACGGATGGTGATACGGGAGCCACTTTGGCCTATACAATTACCTCAGGGAATGCAGATTCCTGCTTTAGTCTAGCAAGTGCATCTGGAATATTGACAACAGCATGTAGTGAGTTCTTTATTCAACAGACCTCTTAGATTTTAAATTCATACATATAATCATGGCCTTAGTAGGAGGCTGACATATTTTGCAAAAGTTCGATGATATGTGATATTTGGTTCAGATAATATTTCTGGTGTCATGTGCAAAGATTGTGTATCCAAGGGACCGATATATACGCCTATCTATTCTAAATACTTCTGATGACATGGACATTTCTTTTATGTGAATTTCGGCTTCAGTGTCAAAACCTGATCACTTAATTGAAAAAAAAAATTGATATTACGTTGGTTTGCATGCAGCAATGAGAGATTAAATAATTTTCGGGGAAATGTGGTATAGTAACAAAAAAACAATTTATCACTTCATGATTGCTGTCTCAATTTTTTAAGTAATGCATGTTTCAATTTCACAAGTTCATTGGTGGTTTTGAAAATGGATTTCAAATCTTGCAGGAGCAAAATTGGCAGATATTGTAGATACAATCAATTAAGAAAATTGTTACCCATTTCCTTTTTTTTTTTTTTTTTTTTTGTTTGGGATTATTGTGGGTTTTTTTATCAAAATTTAAATAATTATATTTGCCTCAGGTTTTTGTTTTATTAAACTGAATATCTGAGCCATCTAAATCAACAAAATCAACACAGGTAACTATCGCCGGTAAAACCACCTTCAGGGCGTCCTAGAAGGAGTTTCAAATGTTGTTAGTGTTAAGGATCAATATATTTTGTATAAAACAATGGGAACAAGTAATAAAAAATATTGTATCAATGATATGAGCGATTAATACATTTAAGCACTGGATTACGACACCGGAAGTCAATCGTACAGTCTGGCTGTAGAAGTCAGTGACGGAAGCCTGTCTAGCACAGTAACTGTAGACGTCGTCCTCTCAGCCGAAAACGACAACAATCCATCATTTGCCTCCAATCCTACCGTCAGTCTCGCGGAAAGTACGAGTGTTGGAACAGCCGTGACAACATACACCGCGGCAGATGATGATTTATCGCCTCATGATGTTGTCTCGTATGACATAACAGCAGGTATTTGTGATTGACGTACAAATATCATAACAGGTTTGGTTTCTATATGAAATAATCGACCTAGCGCTATACTAGATGTTTAATCAAACCATTATTAGGTCTCTGAGCAAATATTTTGTGTCACAGACAGAACTTCAAATATCACCGATTCTTTTATGTTGCCTTGGTCTGTTCATCCTTGTTTATTTTTTATTTCTAGAAGAACACTCAGTAGCTTAAATGTTAATACTCAATACTTGTTTGTTTTAATTAAAGCAGACCAGTACTTCGGACAGGTTACGAAATAATGGAACTTTAATTTCACATATATTTAAGCAACGAATACGTCAGTGATATCTTTATTATGCATAATGTGAGAAATAAAGAAAGCAAGACTATATTTGCATTGATAGCAGTTCTTTATAAGATTATGTTAACGTATACAACTTACTCCAACACCTTTTCTAAAATACATAGGTACATTCAGTAAAATTGCTTGATGAGACGATATAAAAAAAATAAACAGTACATAAAACAACAAACTACAGGATGAAATTAGATCCATTTTTTTCCATTTCAGTAACCAACAGTGGTACCAGTGTATTCTCTATAGACTCGACCTCGGGTAGTATTACGTTATCCAGCTCTTTGGACTATGAGACGACCACCAGCTACGTCATCACAGTGGTGGCTACAGATGGTGGAGGGACAGCGGTATGATTTCATTTCATTCACTGATAACAATATCGTAAGGTTTTTTTAACTTCATTTAAATAATCTGAATCATGTCTGGTTATAATTCAATATTGATACAATGTATTTAATATCGTATATGATATACTATTATTTCTTTAGAAATAAATCTTGGTAATGATTGTCAGTCTTTTCACTGTAGCTATATACGTAGTATTGTAAGGTGATGGTTTATTACAGGCTACGGGTTCCGTCACGGTTTCGGTGACAAATGTCAACGACAATTCCCCAATATTCTCGCCATCAGCGTACACAGTGGAGATAGCAGAGAGCACATCAGCTTCAGCTACGGTACCGTCATTGTGTTATCAATTTTTATAATTGTTAATTAATGTATGATGATCGGTGAAACATGATATACAATGTACTTTTCTGGAAAGTAACATATTACTACAAGGGGAAAATCCATGAAAAACAATGGTATTATGTATTATATATTTATTCTTCATGCAGGTTTCAACGCAAGGAACATTAGTCAATGTGTTAATCTCATAGGATATCGCATGTATTCAACGCAAGACAAAATTAACGCTTCATGGAAAAGATTATCTTTTTAATGTAATCAATTTATTTATTTATATATTTTTGTAAAAATATTGTCTAGACACGCATTCCTCGATTATTTTAGTACCATACATATGTATATTAAATTAATGCATGTATATCAATCCATTGCGTGTATAGGTCGTCACAACGACATGCGCTGATGCTGACACATCGGATACTGTCACATATTCTATCGCGAGTGGAAACACTGATGGCAAATTTGCGGTTTCTGCATCAGGGGAGATAACTCTTGCAGCAAGTAGGTGTATAATATTTTGTAATATTCATTTTTACCATGTAAATCGCCATTGAAATAAGCATCGATGTTGACTTCCTATAAATCGTAGGAGTAATAATTTCCAGACTTGGTAGTAACGTACGCATATAAATTAAATGGTGAAACATCTATTTTGAATGTGAATTGATGTTTCAACGGTGATGTCATAAATAACGTATATTGAAATTAGTTGAAAAATTAGAAAAATGACAATTCAATCATATATGACGGCAAATGGAAAGGAATTACTCGTAAACGCTCTCGTAACGTAGCATTACAACACAACTCACTTTTTAAATTTAAGCCATTGATTACGATACGGAGACGACGTTTTATACACTCACCGTGGAAGCCACAGATACCAGTACCACGGCCACGGCTACTGTTAAGATAACAGTCACTGGGACAAACGAGGGGACGCCAACCTTTGCCAGCAACCCGACTGTCTCCCTGGCCGAGAGCTCCAGTGTTGGTACTGCAGTGACGACGTATGCAGCCACAGATACGGACGCCTCACCTCACGATATTTCCACATACGCCATAAGTTCAGGTGAAAGATATATCCATGTATCTGTTTAAGTTGATTCCCACATATTTATTGATTCAGGATATCGATTTCGAATTTTAAAAATTTATATTTCCAATGTTTTTGTTGACGTTGTAGGTGATAATCTAATTATACTGTTTATTTTAGTTACCAACACGGGAAGCGCCTTTTTCACTATTGACGCGACTACTGGGAGTATAACCTTGGCTAAAACTCTTGACTACGACACAACAACGAGCTACGAAATCACGGTGACGGCTACTGACGGAGGCGGGCTTGTTGTAAGCAATACTTTGTCAACCTAAATTGATTTTCTTTTCCCCAAAGCATACGACATAAATATCGATTGATGAAATCCATGTAAATTCAAATTAAAAGACATATCAAGCAAGATGCAACAAATGTCGTAACAAAAATAATAATATTTAGTATTTCCATCTGTACATGTAGGGTACCGGAACAGTAACTCTGTCAGTTACCAATGTTAACGACAACACTCCAGCTTGTCCTTCATCGTCCTACACGTTTTCGCTGGCGGAGACATCATCATCCGGTGTACGTATAGTATAAAACAACAAATAAAACACCGAAAAGTCCGGCAATCTATTGATTGAATATTTCTCATTTAACATCAACGTGAGATAAGGGCATATTCAATGTTTTAGCACGGATGTGAAGTAAATTAACGATCAAGAAGTCTATAGGAATTCGATGTGATGATTTTGTTACCAGATATGCGCAAATAATGTAATATATTATGTCATAATATATGATATTATCGATAGATATGACGACAACATAACAAAGAATAGAAAATATGTCAATTGACTGGCGTACTACGTGTTATTTAAAGCATACTAAAAGGTTTCATAAAGTGCTGTCCTTTTGTTATAGACAACAGTGACAACTCTCGCTTGTACAGATGGCGATACGGGAGCCAGTTTGGCATACACAATCAATTCTGGAAACGCCGATTCATGTTTTAGTCTGGGAAGTGCGACTGGCATACTTACCACAGCATGCAGTAAGTATATATAACATATATATCACACATAGATATATAAAGGAGGTTCTTGTATTCTGACCAATATCAGTTGCATTTCGAAGATGACTTAGTCTTTTTTAGTGAACATCGGTGAAATTTTCAGCCCACTATTCACTCAGAATATATGATATGTTTGTTACATTATTTCTATAAATTCATGGACTTTCATGAACAGGTTGCCCATTGGAATAGCGTTGTGTCATCACTGACATCGAATATTGTTGTTGACCCTTCGAAATCAACATTGATTTCTGATTCAAATGTTATTAGAAAGAAGCAAAGTGACACTAGATAATAAGTTATTCATATTGACAAATTGTGTTTCTAACACATTCAAATGCACGTCTTCAATCTCATTATTCAAAGCCCTAGATTACGACACCGGAAGTCAGTCGTACAGTTTGGCTGTAGAAGTCAGTGACGGAAGTTTGTCCAGTACTGTTACCGTAGACGTCGTCCTCTCAGCCGAAAATGACAACAATCCGTCATTTGCCTCCAATCCTACCGTCAGTCTCGCGGAAAGTACGAGTGTTGGAACAGCCGTAACAACATATACTGCTTCAGACGGGGACTTGTCGCCACATGAAATAGCTTCCTACCAAATCACAACAGGTATGTGTGCCTTTTCGTAAGTTACGCAAAATAAGGTTTAACCAGTCATTTCGCGGGTCAAAATTTTCGCGATTTACATTAAATACGATCGAATAATATTTCAACTAATTCAAGTTTCGCAATTTCGATGTAACAGGCCATTTGATACACACGTGTCTCATTCTTTCACTGATAAATTTTTCCCAGTCTCGCTAAAGTATCGTGAAAATACCATCTTCGCAAAAATAGCCCTGCTATACAGTAGTGTAATAGCGCTTAGTCGCCTTGCTGTGTCAATTCTCGTGTCAACACAACAGTAACTGTTCTGGTAATTTGATTAAATCAGTGAAATTACAGCGTGTTGAGTCATACCGATAATTCCGTTAGGGAATTATCACAAAATATATTATATATATTACATATCTATTTTGCAATTAGTTTGTGTCTTATTTTAAAATATTTTCAATAAAAAAGCTGATATTGTTGATATTGAAAGAAATCAAACATAAAACATATATTAAATGATGTATATCTGTTTTCAGTAACCAACAGTGGTACCAGTGTATTCTCTATAGACTCGACCTCGGGTAGTATTACGTTATCCAGCTCTTTGGACTATGAGACGACCACAAGCTATGTCATCACAGTGGTGGCTACAGATGGTGGAGGAACAGCGGTAAGGTCACAATATCATTCGTTCTGGACTGGTTAAGAAAACATTAGACATATCATTGTTAAGATGAATTCGAAGATTTGTCGTTATTGTATATGGTTTGATAAAGAATTATGTAAAGAATTTTTCTTTCGTTTCGTTAATCTTTCTTAAATTAAGAAATGTTCTGTCAAAACCCTGTCAAGAATCAGAAGTTTGTAAACAATTATGATAGATTGAAATATATGGCAGTCTGGTCATTAAACGGAAATCTTTTTATCGTGTTTAGTATTTCACTCTTTTTTATAATGACTGTATTTTACTGTAAAAGCATTAATTAAAGTGGGAGATTTATTTTCGTCGATTTTGTGAGTACTTTTCATCCATGTACTGTCATAATTATCATAGGAGTTAGATTTACCCGCAAAGCAAACTATCCATTAAATAAAGATTTTTGAGGAAAAAAAAAACCCACGAAAATTAAGCCACAGGAAAGTACTTTACAGACCTTGTCATAGTTTTCTCTTTATCAAATGTTCAATGTGCTTCATTTTCTAAATGTATACATACTTTTTGACATTCAGGCCACCGGTTCAGTTACAGTCTCAGTCACAGATGTCAATGATAACTCACCTATATTTTCGCCATCAGCGTACGATGTAGAAATTGCAGAAAGCACGGCAGCTGCTGCAACGGTAAATACAGACAAGATTTAGATCTAGTGTTAATTTGACTCACGTGCGTTAGTTAACTGCTTTATTAGTACCATTAATGGTAAAAATATTCTATAGAAACTATATATATATATATTATGTTGGAAAACACTGCAATATTACAGTCATTAAATAAATCGCAGTAACTTCATCTTGGATACTTGGCGAATATATCGATGGCAGATTTTCCATAAACCGTATCTAACTGTTATCAAGGTAGACTTTCTAACTTTGACTACAGGTTGTGACCATGACATGCGCAGATGCCGATACAGGCGACACAGTCTCCTACTCAATCGTCAGTGGAAACTCTGCTGGAAAATTTGCTGTTTCCGCATCGGGGGAAATAACATTAGCGTCAAGTAAGAATCTACGGCCCCTTACTTTTTTTTAATTTTCCCGTCAAACATTTTCATCACAATCTATTTATTTGTTGCAGTAATCCCATATTTCGAAAATCCCATTAAAGCATACACATTGTTTTCAATAATCGCCATTGTCTATTGTTTATTACGGAGTTTTACCATATCTTTGCAGCCATCGATTACGATACGGAGACGACGTTTTATACACTCACCGTGGAAGCCACAGATACCAGTACCACGGCCACGGCTACTGTTAAGATCACTGTCACTGGGACAAACGAGGGGACCCCCACTTTCGCCAGTAACCCGACAGTCTCCCTGGCCGAGAGCTCCAGTGTTAGTACCGCGGTGACGACGTATGCAGCTACAGATACGGACGCCTCTCCACATGATATCTCTACATACGCTATTACGTCAGGTACATCTATTGGTATCGTAATCATTGATTGGTAACCGGTATCATAAAACGGACAATGTATGCTAGGGTATGATAACATTACTTGTGTATCAACATCTAAAGGACATCCAAAAACAAGGATAAAATTAAATAGAAAAAAAACTTTTTTAATATTGACCAAATTTATATAATTCTTTTAATTTTTATAGATAACTTTCTAAATTTGTTTTTGCATTCAAGTTTTCTCTTTTTGTTTTTAATGATATTTGTTATTCCTTATCTCGCCTACAAATTGGCCGTGTTGTTTTTCTACTATTCTTCAAGACTTGCCTTTATCTATTGACAGTCACAAATACGGGGAGTCCATATTTCTCCATCGACGGGAGTACTGGCAGTATCACATTGGCGCAATCTCTTGACTACGAGACTACAACGAGCTATGAGATAACAGTTACTGCTACTGATGGAGGTGGACTAGTGGTAAATATCTGACTGGCATTATGTTATTTTCTATTTATTTTCCGGAAGACTTTTAAACACGAAACAGTTTTAAAAATCAATTTATTTTCATCTTATCCGCGCTACATCGTTCTAGTAAAACAGTAACCCAACTTTTAATAGATAAGTATTTTATGTTTTTGGATCATAAATATTTCCAGTATGTTACCGTCAAAATACCCCACAGATATAAAACGTAATTATCTCCAATTTCAGGGAACCGGAACAGTTACAGTTTCAGTGACAGATGTCAACGACAACATTCCAGTGTGTAGTCCTTCTGCTTACAGCTCAACCGTGTCGGAGTCTTCGTCAACAGGAGACACAGTATGTTATAGTTCATAAATATGAGTCACAGATACAGGTTAAACAAACATTGATTAACGTTATCTGATTAGCCTAGTATATGGAGTATAACTATTTAAGAAAAATAAATAGGAAGTCCTCAAATGGCAATAAATTTTAACCAAACCAAAAGAGTTTATATTGTGTAAACCTCTTAATGAAGATCATCTGCCATTAAAGGAAACTTTTCTCTGCTGCAAGGAGTTGCCGTTATAGACAGGTTTAACTATAGATAGAAAATGGCCGTTAAGACATTTGATTTTTCATTTTTTTACCAAAGTTTATATACTTATATGTTTTACAACAAAAGAATTACCTGTCATTCTGAAGAGTTATTTTTGCAATGCATCTTGTTATAAGAAATCGATTTGAAAACAGTGTATTATAAAGTTCCCAGTTTTAGTATGTGTTTGTCGAAAACAATGAATATGTGACATGATATACAATGTTATTGTTTTACGTCAGGTCACCACACTGGCTTGTAGTGATGGCGACACAGGTGACACCATCACTTATTCTGTGGTCAGTGGAAATGTTGGCAGCGACTTCGCAATTTCGTCAGCAGGAGTAGTGACTCTGGCAAACGGTATGTCTTAATAAAAACAGACCTATACCCACTGTACTGAAGTTTAGAACAGTATCTGCAAATCGTTTACAATAAACATATAATTAAAAATCAAACGCATTACTTAATACACAATTAAGTCAGCGCAATTAAGATTTGGAATAAATGACTGGAAAAACAAATAAAATTATGTCACATGTATAAGATATTTTTGGATTTTTGCTTTTTTTCGGACTCGTTTTTTTTTATTATTATTTTTAGCACTCGATTATGACGCGGGAACTCAGGAGTATACAATATTGTTCGGTGTGTCTGATGGAACCACCACCTCCACGGCTACCGTAGCAGTTACTGTGGGTGCTGCAAACGAAGCCACGCCCACATTTGCCTCTAATCCGTCGACAACACTTGCAGAAGACACTGGAACTGGAACAGCTGTGATGACCTACACAGCAGTAGATGCCGATGCCTCGCCTCATAACATCGTCAACTATGATATAACTGCTGGTATGGTTAGAGGAGAACAATATAATGATAAATAGTCTCCTTATGATCGTGTATGACTGCCTGCAATCCATTTTGTAATTATATTCTTATGTAGTCAAAGAGTAACAACTTTTGAACTGCGTAAGACATGTCATAACACGGGTTCCCGTTTTGGTAGTTTAAGGACGAATAAAGCTTGTTGTATAAGAAAAAAACAGATTAAAGATTTCCGTCTATCAGATAAACACTGTCTTGCACATAAATTAGAAGGATGCATAATCCGTAGAATTTATGAAGATTTGACAAATATCATTTGGAAATAAAATACATTTGTTATATAATATAAAGCAATGAAGTATACACTTCAAAATACTTTTATCTTATGTGTAATAACTTTTCACGCCGATCATTAAGATTGTCTGAAAATTATTTTAGATACATAATAGGTATTTACATCTTCATTTGATTATATAACATGTACATGTTTAATAAAAAAAAACACTACTATTTATTTTTCACTTCAATGTATGCTGTTCTGTCCCATGAAAAGAAATTTATCAAATAAAAACCAGGTTTGTAGTGATGAACGAATTTCAATCGTAATTAAATTTCAGTGACAAATGGTGGCACTAACTATTTTACAATTGATGAAACTTCTGGAAACATTCAACTGGCTCAATCTCTTGACTACGAAAGTACTACCAGTTACGAACTGACTGTAGTTGCTACTGATGGAGGGGGTTCAACGGTAGGTTTGAAACAAGATTTCACTCAAATTACTTTCAATAATGAAATATAAAGTTTGCAATTTTGCTATTTTAGTTTAAATGTGTACTTCTACCGAATATTTGACATATACCGAGCTTTTTTACTACTTTTCTTCAGATCCTCTTTTCGAAATCAAATTTCATTTCTCCTGTATTATTGTTTTCTAGCTTTTTATTGCTGATTTATCTCTATGAACAGGGTACCGGAACTGTTACCGTAGCTGTCACTGATGTGAACGACAACACGCCTATTTGTACACCTTTTGCACATGTCATTACAGTTCTTGAAAGTACAGGTACATTTTATTTTACCATAAAGTTTAGATATTTTGTTAAGCCTTAATTTTGTGGTTTTTTCCCATAATACATTATTGTTGACACGACTCAAAAAGTCCACTAGTTTTATGATATTATTATTTAACTGATGTTCTTTTCGTGAACAAATGAAGTCGTGGAATAAGAATTCACACAACATCATCGAAAATCAACACCCACAAAAATGAAAGAAGTTACAGTAAGTGACTTAGACTATGTTAATTATCTTGCCATATTCAGATACGCATATTTGACATAGGATGAAATGTTTCATAGCTGATACCAATGTCAAGTAATTAAACTTCTTTTTAAAAACATTGTTGCAGCCACAAGCACGGCCGTGATCTCTGACCTCGCCTGCTCTGATGGGGACGCTGGAACCACACTAACGTACACAATGACACAGAATCCGGATAATAAATTCGGCGTGACTGTTTCCGGATCGACCGCTTCCCTTGTTGTCAGTGGTAAAGTTAACATTATTTAACCCTAAACCCCCAACCCCCCGCATTTTGTGTTCTAATCCACTTACAATGGTATGTGTGATATCAAACTGAGAAGTTTGTTTTTTTATTGTAGCTACCCTTGACTACGAGACGACGACATTTTATAACTTACAAGTAACAGTTAAAGATGGCGGTTCACCGGAACTCACGGCAACGGTAACTGTTGATGTCAACGTAGGAGCTGTTGATGAGGGCTCTCCTGTATTTACAAGCTCCGGTACGATTTTTAAACTTTCAAAAATAATTATAAAATGATACGACGTTTGCTGCATGCTTATACACTTGTGAATGTAAATCCCGTATTTAAGTATATTAATGACAGATAGTCCGAGCTGTGCGACAAGGAATTTTGAATCGATTGCCTTTTGGCAAAGAAAAAAATAAATGATAGTACATATATAAGGTATCACAATAACCGTTAGTTGTATAAATATTTGTAGCGTTAGCTCATTTATATTTCTCATGTAGGAACATATGCCCTGTCTGCCGGGGAGGACACAGCCGTGGGATCTACATTAGTGACCGTTACGGCTACAGACTCTGTAGATACTGGAGACCCAATATCTTATGCCTTTGTCGCTACCTACTCCATGTTTGAATTGGACACGAACGCCGGAACCATTTTGCTTGTTACGAGCATGGACTACGAGACGGCAACCAATCATCAACTCCTTGTAACCGCGTATGACGGTACAACTTACGTCACTGCCACCGTCACCATCACTGTGAATGACGTCAACGAAGTGGCTGTGTTTGGATCATCTACATATACGTATGTATATAAGAAACATACCAAAAGCCATGGTAACGAGTTTCGATTTCTTATTCCAACAATTTCCAAACCTTACTTTATATTTTGTGTGCCATGGTTACATCTAGGTTCATCACTGAGATCCCTGTTTATGAAATATGAATGATTATGTTATTCAGACCGACATTTGCCGAGAACCAAGCCATAGGAACTACATTGGTGCAGGTAGCTGCTACAGACGGGGATGCTAGTACCTTTGGTACGATAGCCTACTCAATCTCCTCGGGAGACGGAGCATCCTACTTCACAATCGACTCTTCTACTGGAGCAATAACCGCCTCAGTCGTCATAGATTATGAAGCGAATCAGTACTTCTCGCTTATAGTACAGGCGGTGGACGGAGTTCCTGCTTTAACTGCTCAGTGTCTCGTCCAGGTGACCATGTCAGACGAAAACGACAACACACCCACCTTTAACCCAACAACATATACCGTCACGCTGTCTGAGGACTCCGCGGTTTCTACGACCGTGACCACAGTAACTGCTACTGATGCTGATTCTGTCAGCAACAATAATAATGTTTTTGTCTACAGCACGACGTCATCCGTACCGTTTACGGTTGGGACATCAACTGGAATAATAACAACAAATGCTGTTCTAGACAGGGAAACGACTGCCAGGTAGGTGAAAATATCATTGATGTTTATTTCATCCCGATATCTTTTTTATTCTTTGTCGTAAGTCCTGAAAATTGTGACATGTTATCGATAGGGTTAATTTGAATATTCAAGTGAGCAAAGAAACTAACACCAAAATTGCCGTTGCAGTTACGAGATGGTGCTCCTAGCGACGGACGGAGGTGCCACTCCGTTGACCGGTACCTCTACGATAACTATCTCCCTGATAGATGTAAACGACAACGATCCTAGTATATCTGGTACCTATGACAGCACGATAGACGAGGACACCGCCGTCAACACCGTCGTATTCTCAATCACTGCCACCGATCTAGACTATCAAGAAAACAGTCAGTTAAGTTACAGCATCAATTCTGGGAATACTAATACAGACTTCAAGATTGAGGTTGGAACAGGAATATTACAAACGGCGAATTCCCTCGACAGAGAAACAACAGCATCATATACATTGGAGGTCTACGTTGTTGACAATGGTGCGACTCCTAGAACAGCTAGCGTTACATGTACTGTAACCATTGGTGACCTCAATGATAATACTCCAGCATGGACGGCAGCACCATACACATTTGCAGTGGACGAAAATGTTGCAACTGGTACGAATGTTGGCACTATAGCAGCTACGGACGCGGACACCGGGGTCAACTCGGCGATAAGTTACAGCATTATAGGATACTGGTCGGGTGGTTCAAATCCTGTAACCATCGACACTTCAACGGGAGTAATAACAACAAGCGCTAGTCTCGATAGAGAGAGTGTCGACACGTACGTTATATGGTGCCGTGTCCAGGATTCTGGAACTCCTGTGCTATCGTCGGACACTAATGTTACCATAACAATAAACGACCTTAATGACAATGACCCGACATTTGCCAGTACGACCTTTTCCGCCACAGTGACTGAAAATACTGCTGTTAGCACTTCGATAACAACAATGTCTGCTACGGATGCTGACACGGGCGTCAATGCAGTCATTGTGTATTCTTTCGACACCTCTACAACAGCAGGTGCTAGAGCAGATCTGTATCTGACCATTGGTTCCTCTACAGGCTTAGTAGAAGTAAAATCCTCGATTGACCGAGAGGTTGATGCGACATTTACTGTAGTAGTTTTGGCTGTAGATACTGGTACGACACCTCGAACTGGATCCACAACTCTCACAGTGACAGTAGGAGATGAAAACGATAACTCCCCAATATTTTCTCCGACCTACTACAACGGGGAGGTTCCGTATACAGGTTCATGTAATCCCACTATTTTAACACTTACTGCGTCGGACGCGGATGAAGGTGCCAACGCGCAGTTGTACTATTACTTCACAACCTCAAACAGTGACTTTACAATGGACTCCAGCACAGGTACGTATCGACAAAAGTCTAAAATGAAAAAAGCCGTCAACAACACGTAAGTCAATAGAATGTTTAAGGAGCTCGATATTCGAAAAAATCAGACATTTACATCCAGATTTCAAAGTTGTCACCTGACAAATTTATTCTGATTGTATTTTCTCAGACTTTAGTGCATATTGAGATTAAAGATTAATATTCATTTCATTCAGGACCACCTGGTCTTATTCTCCTTGTACTCCTCGTAATCCTCGTGTAGGTCTTTCTTTTGTTCATATTTTGCCCTAGTTCTGGTGTATGAGTTTGAATCGGTATTATGTTGCCATGTTGGTATTTTTTTATTTCCTTTTTACGTAAGAACATCTGCTTCTCATTCATAATTTTAACTTCATTATTCAAAGCCCCCGCAAGAAGTAAGATGTAAGATTACACCATATTTACAATACAGGGGCAGTAACTCGAACGTCAACACTGTCCAGTGGGAAGATTTACACTGCATACGCACATGCACATGACGGAGGAAGCCCACAGTTAACAACAAGCACCAGCGCCACGATGAGGATCGATGCCTACACACCATCTCTTGTCGTCATCTCGTACTACTTAGGGATAAATAAAACCTACTATGAGTCGGTAGAAACTACTTTCATAAGTCAACTGGATGCTGTGTACCAAGTGACATATTCATCAGCCTCCGTTAAACGCTGGTGTATTGTAGAGACAACGGGAAGGTAAATAGTAATTATGTTAACGAAGTAATAATAAGAGATAATGATATAGGTAAATATGGAACTATTTATTTGATAATCGAAATGGAATGCATTTTTCTAAATATCGAATTTCATGTTTTTGTAATAGATTTGTTCAATTCAATTTCAGTTCGATAATCGTGCATATGTATGTGTTACAAGACAACACAACTGATTCAGTGAGCAACATCGGATCACAGAAAGTCTTCTTGAGTGCATCGTCCGCTCAAGGATTTGTGGCAACAGATACGGCGGGTACCCCTTCATCTAGTGTTACAGGTATGGCGTACTTCACTGTTTGAAGGACTTAAACAGCTTTGTCGTCCTACGGGGACTCGTCAGCGATCTTGATGACTTAAATTTGAAACCTGGGATGCGTCTGAGGACAAAAAAGATTGATCAAAAGAACTGTTAAAATCTGAATAAAGAAATTAATTAGTCTCATAATTCAATTAAACGTTTCATCGTTTTCACATATCGATAATTGCAGATGAACGTCAAATGCATGTGTATGTTTAGCAGCGTAGCAGTATTTTCTTGTGTGCGTCTATTATGGATGTTTGTCAATTTCGTTCCTACAGAGCAGTTTTCAAAACATGCATAGATATGCTTATTGAGATACCGAGGATGAGTTTCTTATTCATATATTTCCTGGTTGTTTTAGGGACGTCATGGGATACGTATGCCATAGAAAAAATAGTGCTTTACGAGACGACTACTGCCGAATCTAGCACTCCTTGGATAGAGACAGCGACTGGCATCGCAGTAACGACAACATGTGTTTTAATTGGAGTGGCATGCATCACCATGACTACGATTATGATCGTCAAATACTGTCGAGCAAAAAAGTAAATACCAAAATTGTATATGTCAAAATTTATTCCAGAGTGTGTTATAATAGATAAGATTTCCCAATGTTGAAGTCGTTTTCTTATTCTGCGCTGATAATGACGCTTGGTGGAAGTAGATTTTATTTCACACATCTGAAGGCAAATTTTATACATTAAAGTCAAAACAGAAATGAAAACATGTAAAACCAATGAACGTGATTGTTCACCTGTATAATAATTGTATGAAATACCAGTTGATGCTCAAAGTTCCAATATAAATGCATGTTTGTGTAATATTCGCTCGCTTTCCATTATTCCATGGTATCATTAATGATTGAGATTGTGTACACATAATTTTAATAGGAATACATTTATGAGTATCATACAATAATATTACTAATTGATCTGTAATTATGGATATATAACTTACTTTATTTGACTTGTCAGAGCTGCACAAAAAACAAATGCACCAAGAGTTGAGATGACAGAACCAAATAACAGCAGCAGTAATAATAACAACGCAAGTGACAACAACAAAAGCTGGTCTAACAAACCCCGCCCCCCGCCATATTCACGTAAGCACAGATGGTATATTTTCCATCTCAGAATGTCACAGCATAAATTTCCTCTCTCGCTGTAATACGTTACTCTGCAACAAGTGTTATTTCCGTGATATTTTATATACATATTTTTTACCATACATTATACATTGGGAAACCAAATACTGTAACTTTTTTCTTACTATTGTTGTAAAGGTGAAGGACGGAGGGAGCAAGCTAGGGCAGCTGCAGCAGCCGTAAGTTGATATACTGTACTTGCCAAAGCTTAAAGTTATATATGTTCCTCAACATGTAAAACTGTGTTTCATAAAATGCAATTCAGATATTCTAATACTGATACAGAAATAATTAATAAACCTTTAATCATACGGCTTTGCATGATAAGATATAAACACTTGTTCCTGCACATTCACCTATTTCACAAATGTCTGAAAACGCAACTCGGTTTTACTAAAGATAGATTTTGTACTTTTGCCTTCGTATTTGATTCTTTCGCTATAGGGGTTCTTGCTTTTTAAAAAGTGGGTGTGGCTTTGATACCGTTTTATCTAAGAGATGATCATCGCTTAATGTTGTCACATGAAGAGCGATATATTTCTGGTAACAAGACTATTTCAGAGAAATCGGTTGGATCACTCATTAATTTCCTATTTCCTGTCATGGCATACATTTATGATCAGGGATACTGTACAGTTATAAAAAAATACTATATTTGTCATTACAATGACGGTATGGTTTGGTGACCGTGCTATCTTAATATATCAATATATAATATGTTACAGGCTTGTACGATAACATAGAAATATCATAACAAGTGAATTGACTTTTAAATACAAACTTAGTATAAGATAGGAATAACGAATTATACTGCATTACAGACCTGGGTTTTTTTTCCATTTGTATTAACATATTATTTATCTAATATAATTCATTTGTATAATTTACATTTATGTTACAGTCGGCTTTGACAAGCAAGAACCCAAATCGGTCAGTTTTCGTGAATGAACCAGGAGGGGACATAAATGCCTGGCAGAAAAATAGTGATTTTATAGTAACTAATGGGGAGTACGATGGACGTGCAGTAGATCCAGGTAAACTACAAATATATTTACATACATAATTTCTGTACATGTCGTACTCGTGTCCAAGGAGTCGTAAATGAGTGATATTGCTATCAAACATTTTTTACAAATTGTAGTTTTTTCCATATGTAGTTAATAATGTCACAAGTCGAAAATGCACGTGTATAACATTGATGTATCCTCGGCTCTTAATAAGATGTTTCATTTGTTTCAGCGTCTGGCAAAGTATATGAATATAACACAAAGACTGAACAAAAGCAGTGGATTAAAACACGGGGCGGCACTCCAGTAAAAATCGACATTGGAAAAACTCCAGAGGGCCTAGATATCTGAATTATAAATTTGAAATATTCTTTTTCGTACCACTTGAAAGGATTGTAGATGAAAAAAGAGGCATTTTTTTATTTGTTTTTTTAACAATAACAATTTCACGATTTCTCATTTTATATTTTAATATTTCATATATTTTTCTTTATATAGAATTATTTTTTCATACCTATTTCATAGAACACATTTTTTATTATTTATAATTGTAATAAAATACCTTCTGCTCCATTTTACTATTGTTTACATTTACAGTCTTTACTAATCGTAAATTTGTAAATAATATTAGTGCTATTAGGTACGGGTTTTTTGGATGGAAGCTGTTTATGGATGTAGAAAGGGAACCACGTCACAATTTATTTTTTTGCCTTTTTCTTCAAAATTTAAAAGAGATTTTCCAGAATTATTGATGAGATTAAGTTTATTTACCTCTGCTATGAAATTATTTATAAAGACAACAGACATGTGAAATTGAAGAAAATGTTCCGGAATAATGACATAATGAATTTTTTGTAGCTTACAAAACATGAATTATGCCACGTTAGTTATGATATTTTTACACTTGTATATATGTCTATATCAACATTCCAGTAAACACGACTAAAACATGACTGTGATATATCTGATTTAAATTACAAACACGACAATACAAGTGTTATTTAATCATCCTGGAGAAACATGCTCAAAAAATGATTTTACGTTCGTTTGTTTTGTTTGGGTTATTGCCCCTTGAAGAGCAAGAATCATTTTGAGGCGTGGCCTCCTTGTAGAAGCACTTGACTACCTCAGTGAACTTCATGAGGGAATCCCGTAACATGCCATCAAGAGCAATTAGGAAAAAGTGTCTTGATGGGAGGAACTTTAATTTCGTTTCGTTTATTTCTTTCTCACTGATCGGTATTACTTAAAGACACAAGTGGGAGAAAACCTTCCTGGTTAATTTACAGAAATGGAATGGAGAACATTTGGCTTCAATGTTTAGATTTGCATTGTACCAGTTTATAGAAACCGAAATTTAGTTTGATTTCACACGGCTTATTTCGTTTCTGTTTTTGTTTCTTCTCCAAAGTATTTCACAGCACTTTAATTAACCCCTGAAATTGTACAGCATTTAATTGCTCATACACCAATTAATTACATTTTCAAAACCCATATTTAATGAACCAAAGTTGTAAATATCATTCTATACCAAATTGTTCTTTAGTAATAATATGTACTAAAGATTGTTTATTTTGTAATACAAATTTACTGCTATAGAATTATTCGTTCATACAAAAACATATTTCATTATACTATGAAAGACTGTCTGAAGCGCACAGTACATAAAATATACATGAAAAAACGTGTTCACGAAGGATGCTCAATTGTATCATTACTCAGGAATGTACTTACATCGATCCGACACTAAACATCGTTTTATCACAACTTTTTGGGCCTTGTGCATTTGCTCTTTTTATAGCAAGAATACACATACAAAATTGTAATTCATTTTTCTTATCAAAAGACATGAACACTTAATCTTTTTGCTTGGATATGTCATTATTTGTCTAGTTGTCTATTTTGTTGTATTTTGATATCATACACCAGTTATTTGGGAAGGAATTCGCATAAATTTATTCTCTTGAACCTTTTTACTTTTATTTTCAAAAATGGTGCATTACTCTTTAAAGTATTTCTAGTTTAAAATGTCTAGATATACTTATTTTCGCTTATTATTTAAACAGAACAAATCATTAGCTAATCAAACGTAAGTATTTCTTACCGTTGTAATTTTTATCTTAATTAAAATTATTCAAAGAAAATGTTGACTCCTTATAACATCAAAAGAGACTGGACGTTCGTGTTCGATGAATTGTCTAGGTTTTAAAGGATACAACAGCTATGGGTTTGTGATAATAACACAAGATTGATTTTTGTGACATTTCATATCAATTAATAATTCATACTTATCAATGCTGGTATATAGATTCTGGCAGGATTTCAGTTCGCTTGTGTTTTATATGAAGGGATCACATTTTCTTCCCTGCAAGTAAACAGAACATGAAATTATTCTACAGAATTTAGTAATAAAAATATGAAATGTGAAATGGGTTGAAGATTTAGATTCCATCATTTAATAACAAGACTTAATAACGTATTAGGTTAATTTCTAAAATAAAGTATTATGTTTCAAAATTAAAAATGTAAAATCAATGTTAACATTGATATTGGTGCAAATAAGAACTTTTAATTATACGCTCTATATATAGAATCATTATATTACCATGTATATGTGTTTCTTTATGGAAGAAGCCATGTGGTTTTATTGTATGAAACACATATTTCTTTTGTCTTTTTAAATTAAATCCTTCTTATAGATATATATTTTTATTAGTCCTTTTGTAGAAAAAGTCAGTCTTGTTAAAACGAGGCAATTATATGCTGAAATAGAGTGTAGACTTAGATTACTGTTAAGTGTGTCTTTGTTAATGTTACTTTACACATTGTTTCTAGTTATTGTTTTACTGTCTACCTGACCAGACGTCTTTCATCCTAATTCTGTGATAGAATTTAGCGTGTGTTGAATAAAATTTAGAAACATTAATTTGTCGTTTTGGTTTTTTGGTTTCATTTCTTATTAATTTGAAATTTGTTCAACATTTGTTTCAAACCTCAGGATTGCATTTAAGGTATGGAATTTCTTCAGTTGCGTTTAAGTGTAACAGATTTCAGTACTACGACGAACAAAAATGGAATAAAGAGTTGTAAGGACCATGATTTTCATAAAAAAAATACATGTAGTTCTCGGCTCACTGAATCTCAACATTGATCAATAATACAATCATCCTCGATACTCCAGTGGTTACACTTACTTCCGCTCTGGTCAAAGGTTATAAGAACAAATTCCTCATTTATAATCATATTTGCAATACATCTGCGATATCATAGAGGGTAAAATTTACTTTTACTTTTTTCTGACATTTTAATTTCAGTGGGTGACTACCAAAAGCTTGAATTCCATACAAACAATAATAAAAGTTTAACCCCTCCCTGGAGGGAAATTGAACGCACATCATGTATTCTATTTATCTTTTATTAAACATCTGGTTATTGAAATAGATTTGTTGTTCAATTTGTGTTTGCCGGACATTGACGTTACGCTGAATTTTGCCTGATGACGGACGCCAAAATAATTGATCCGCGCGGAAACATAGTTACGAACTTCATCGGTTATAACAGCGATTTTATTCATTTTCATAAATCAACTTGTTCATTACCAGATGTTATATCGCCTATTTCAACAACTGTTTATATTCTAAACGTAAAAATTTAAGTAAATTCAGAGAGTAATTCTGTCGAATAACCCACTCGTGCTAAAATACCGCTGTTTCCCGTCCCTGCTGAATACAGCAAAACGAGATGTGTCAGGATTATTCCGACAACAGCAGTGCTAGTTGCAGGATAAAAAATAATCATTCCAAAACAAACTGCCGAGTGGGCGGAAACTAGTAGATACGTGAAATTGTGAAACGTCCCACAGGACTACTGGTCTATACAAGGCGGCAACAGGCATCGCCTTTTATGGATGTTTGAAATGAAACAAGACTGCATATGCCATACATGATCCCAAATGCACAGTTTTACAATAAAAATATTGGTAACGAATAACATCTGTCTCCGTTTACGGAAACATGTATTTCACATATGAAAACATGGCGAGATACAATGTCATGTTTTATGGCAATCAATGTCAGACTGCTTATCATATACCTCCTCCCTAGATAACATGGATTCCTATTTTCCTGATTGACTGAACATTTATTGACTTGGAGTTAGCTTGCATTGGCCGCATTTTTCAAAATATTATCTCTCTTGGGGACACTGTCTATTGATTTCACTCCCTGCCAACCTCGGACTTTTCCATATCCACACCTCCGCTGAGTCTGATATACTGGCACGTATCAGTGCAAGCTAATTTTGGTGCAAAATATGACACAATCGACATATCATTTCTAGTGCAGAGTGACTCGGTTTCTCTCTCTCTCTCTCTCTCTCTCTCTCTCTCTCTCTCTCTCTCTCTCTCTCTCTCTCTCTCTCTCTCTCTCTCTCTCTCTCTCAACATGTTTATAACTGTTTCATTGTTATCATATCTTACTACCACCTTGTAAATATAATGTATAGTGCGTATTAATATGTTTAGAAAAGACTTTATATGAGTTGTAAAACTTGTGCCCAATCCTGTTGTTACTTATGTGCAATAAAATATGTTTAAATCAAAAATTTCTTCATTAGCCTTACTCGAGGAATTTGCATTGCCGGATCAGAGTTTTTTTTTAGTTTGGACAAAAGAAGTGAAACGACTGTGATATTGCACTGCCAATAGTTGTGCCGCTTGCGCTTCGTTTGGATGACGACATTGGCATTTTAAATCTGCATAAAACAAAATAAAGAAAGAAGAAGATCGTAGCTATACGGGATTATAGATTAAAATATTGGATTATTTACCTAGTTTTTGTGATGTATCCGCGAGCCTTTCTTACAGCAGAGATCGTTTTTGGAATTGAATTGTTGGATAGCGTCAATCTCATAACTGTTCCACATAAAATTTTTGTTTTTATAAAGTCAACTATTCTGTCAACTGACTGTTCACTTGCCGTTTTAATTATCAACAACACATTTTCTATGATGTTTAAGTCGGGACTCTGTGCCGGCCAGCAAAATTTGCTTATTTAGTTTGTTTCCATAAATGTCTCCGTGACACCTGAGCGATGAACAGGAGTATTACCGTCCTGAAATCTGACTTTCATCTGAAAAAATAGCTTTTTCCATTCCTCCTCCGTGTAGAACCGCTTTTCATTTAAAGCCCCAATATACGTAACATTCACCAAAAATTTAGTGTAGAATCACACATAATTATTGAGACATTCTCTAAAATGTGGTTAAAATTAAGTTATTCAAACAATAGTTATCACGACTTTGTGCATAAAGTATTGATATATGAGCAGTTGAAACTCGCTATTTGTAAACACACCTCCATTTTAAACACGCCGCCATCGAAATTACGATTGTTGCCGAACCACGTCGGAAAGTTCATGACCTGTCTCGCGAGAGTTGAGGTTTCTACTTATAGAGGAAGCACATGCAGATATGTCTACAGTAAGTTTTTGTTTACAAACATTGTCTGCGAAGTCTTGTCGTAGACTTGAGGTATTCATGTGATAAACATTCAGTTTTTTGGAAATTATTAGAAGGAATAATTAGTTTAGAAACGATACGACGCACAATTATAACGTAAGAATTCAGAACTGGAAGCGACTGGTGAACGTCTGTACTGTGTCTGCCATGTTTACACACGCGGGATATACGCATGCGCAATGTCATCGCTACGAGCGGTAATGTATGCATTATTGTGGGTCCCACATTGTTTATTTTCCGATTTTTTCAATTTTTATTTAAATTGAACACAGTCAGTTTTATTTTCTTTAATTAAAGGAAAGTATTTGTTTTGTTACATATATTACGGGGAAAATAAGATAAAGATTGTTTTTTATAGTGATTTTTACGTATATTGGGGTTTTAAGCAGCTTACCCGTTTCGTTCTGTAGACAGGTGAAAATCCTATCCGTTTCTTACAAACATCGCTGTATCAATAGAATTTTGAAACCTCCATCAAGTTTTACAGGAAATATTTTTGTTTTCATGAGTGTAAAATTATTAAAATTTAAAATTTCCTTTTGTCTCATGCGGTTAAACTTTTGGGTCTGTCCGGTTTTTCACATTTCCCCACACTCTCGTGTTCATAGAAATTCCTGTGAATACTATGTACAGTGGTTTTCGGCTTATTCAGTAACTGACCAGCGTTTTGGAATGGTAAGCTTTTCAGAACCATACTTATTACACTTTGTTTCTGGCCCTCGCTTGTGTATCTGTATTAGGACAACTTTAATTTACTTTCCTGATTGTACTGGCCGACATCAGTACCTGTATTAATAAAACTTTAATTTACTTTCCTGATTGTAGTGGCCAACATCAGTCCCTGTATTAATAAAACTTTAATTTACTTTCCTGATTGTAGTGGCCAACATCAGTCCCTGTATTAATAAAACTTTAATCTACTTTCCTGATTGTAGTGGCCAACATCAGTCCCTGTATTAATACAATATTAATTGACATTCCTTAGTGTACCGGCCAACATCAGTCCCTGTATTAATACAATATTAATTGACATTCCTTAGTGTACCGGCCAACATCAGTCCCTGTATTAATACAATATTAATTGACATTCCTTAGTGTACCGGCTAACATCAGTCCCTGTATTAATACAATATTAATTGACATTCCTTAGTGTACCGGCCAACGTCAGTCCCTGTATTAATACAATATTAATTGACATTCCTTAGTGTACCGGTCAACGTCAGTCCCTGTATTAATACAATATTAATTGACATTCCTTAGTGTACCGGCCAACATCAGTCCCTGTATTAATACAATATTAATTGACATTCCTTAGTGTACCGGCCAACATCAGTCCCTGTATTAATACAATATTAATTGACATTCCTTAGTGTACCGGCCAACATCAGTCCCTGTATTAATACAATATTAATTGACATTCCTTTGTGTACCGGCCAACATCAGTATCAGTTTTTGTTTACATTCTAAACTGTGCCAGTCAATAATAGAACAGACTTGGAAATGGCTATATCTAAGTCCATGATAATACTTGGTCTGTCTTTTAGGTTAATGATAGAGTATATGCACCTTCTTTGTCTTGACCAAAACCAAAACCAAACGAAAACTATGTGCAGGTGCCTCCATCAGTATTTTAAGTTGGAATATTGTTTGTCCAATCTACGTCGTTATCATAAAAAAAAACTTCATCCTTTTCCGTTTCAAACCCAGTTGTTCTGGTGATTTAAACATCACAATGTTTAAGACACTTACGTTTATTTCATCAGTATATATTAATTTTAATTCACCTACGTTAGATAACTTCTGTATCATTACCTTGCTAGGCTGACATAAGCCTGATTAATTCTCTATAATTGTCCTTGCCAATAGTCGGAAAGTCGAGGACCCAAAAATATATCCAAAAAAATCTATTTTACCAATATTTTTATGATGATTAACAAGAAGCAGAACCCATGTCTTGTCCCTTTACCTAGTGAGAAAAATGTTATATTTGTAAGAGTTACTTCCCTTATATGAACGCGCCCTGAGTCACACTACCACCAATAATAACAGAATGGGTTTTTCATTCGGTTAAATATTCTGTGACGTTTGAACTTATTGTATTTTGCAACATACACCTGAGTGCATAATTATGACAGAACAGCACATTAACAGAATATTTTCTATCGTCAGTGAGTCGACAACACAATGCCTGAGAATGTTCACTTTAACCATTTGACTGATCAATGAGATAACATATTGAAATCGACATGGAATGACTTCGCTTTGTCTATGTCGTGTTTCAGCCAGATATCTAGATAGTTGTCGTTTTCAATTATTAAATTCATATGCAATAATGCGAATGCTATGGGGTTTTTTTTTTACGTTTTAAGCAGGAATTGTTACACTGTACATACCCAGTTACACAAATCAGTGCTGGTGTACCTCAAGGTCAGATGTTACCATTGGTGTAAATACATCTGCTGTTGCAGAACATCGCTTTATCTGCTGGTCTTTATCAAATATACGGTTCGTTCATTTAAGCTACGAAATCGCGCATTTTTCACTGCAACGTTAGTTCTGCCGCAGGAGATTTTACTTCAGTTCACACGCATGACTGCTCCCCACTATACACAGATGAGAACAATGGACACCCGTCAGTGTTACACGGTACTTTGACCACGAGGTATTGGAATATAATGTGATTCACTATCCTTGGAATGATTTGGGTTAGAAACTAGGTCTTCCACCATTCTATGTCGTAATACCATACCATACCTCGTGGTTTGACAACACGAATCGATTCTAGCGTGGTCTTCCTTCTCTAAAAATAGCACAGGGAAGCCCTTATTACAATCGACATATTCGATCGTGTGTGTACATTTCGTTCCACGACAGAGCGCGAAGACTACAGCCATGGGGGCTGTTGGTCAATTCTTTCTGCTAGTATGGAAGAATTTCACGGTATCCCGTCGGAATTATTGTGCCACAGTGTTCGAAGTTATTCTACCAGTGGCCTTCTCACTGTTGCTGCTGATGCTGCGGTTCTTGGTAACCAGTGTCGACCACGCCCAACCCTTCAAGTGGGACGGATTCCGTGCCGACGACTTTACAGTATATATAGATTCAACTAATGGAATTCTGTATTCTCCTAACGACAGCTCTGTTAGGGAGGTGATGAACAATGTTTCGTTAACTCTCGGACCTTACGTTAACATTACAGGTAAGACCAATTTCCTCCTTCTCCGTCCCCACCCGTACAGCTCTGACGCCCCTCCCTCGTGTTACCTTCTCCCCACCACCACATACACCCGGAAACCTACATGTCATTCCGTTTCTATAAGTATCCATTTTAATCAGAACTAAGGTCGAAACCGGAAATTATAAGCACAATGTTATTTTTAACAGCATCGTAAATATAACGCCACATACTGTACATACAACATAACCAGTGATTCATAGAACATAGTTTTACACAAATCAAGAATCAATATCTCCGTCTGACCTTAAGTTAACCATTAATTAACTCTGTCAGGATGGCCGTTAGGAAATATGCCATATAAAAGGAAGCAGCCAGTGAATCCCGTTCCATTTCTTGACCCGGTTACACAACATTTCCAAATCGGCAATTATGACGTCACATGGACCCGAACATACCCCGAAAGTATTATTGAAAATTAATATCTTAAGGGGGTAACAGCTGTTTAGATATCGTCTTATAAAGACATCTGTTCTGCTAATCCATTTATTGATGCTTTTAGCACACATAAAAGGTGTTTATAGCAATGTTTAAGGCGACTGAATGTCCAAACCGGAAACTGTTATTATTTTTTAAGAATGGCAGTTGAAAAAGTACCAGGCATGATGTAGGAGCCGGTAAATAACCCGATTACGTGTTACTCTATCAACAATACCCTATATTCAGGCAGAAGGGATATTGAATTTAGTTACAACGAGCAAACTGAGGATTGGTATTTCGTGGAAAGGTTAATGTTTTGGAAATAAGAAGTGATTTCGCTTTAGAGAACTGAAACGTTAAAACCTTTCAGTGAATTTCAACACTTACCAAAACATACCCCCATATTTGAAAAAAAAAGTACTTTAAGGGAAAATAATAACACAAATGAATATTCTGATATTATACCAGATTCAGGGAATATAGTATCAGTGATTGTTGTTCATCTTTTCGTTCTTCTATCGATTATTTTCCCTAACAAATAAAAATCTTTTATTTCTGCTGCAGAATAAATAAATAGATATATAGATAATTGAGGAAATAATCTGGAATTATGCGCATACTCATCAGCCACAACAATTGTCCTAACTCTGTACCATAGTTGTGAAAAAAACGTGTGTCGTCTTATGTTGGGTAGCATAGCGTAGGAAAATGTAGCAGAATTTTAAGAGTGATTTTGTTAAAAGGGAAACATGAGGAGAGATTTATTTCACAAATCTTCAAGCGTGAAACTGGGTTCAGTAAGGCTACCTTTACTGGAGCTTTGTGAAGCGTCACTGTGACAGGATAAAAATAACATCATGGTCTACTTTGTACGTATATATAAGTTTCAACAGTTGAAAGCTTAAAATCCTAATGAGAAATTTTATTAGATCATGATCTCCTAGAAAGACCAGATACAAAACTGGAGGAAATATATGTTTAGATATGATGAAGCTCTTCATTAAATATTGCAGAATCTTAGCCAGAGGAGATATTGCAGGTTTACGTTTGTTGAATCGTCTGTTCAACAGACTGCATAAACTTCTCATTATGTGGCTATATAGGGTATAAAATGGCAGAAAAACCGCTATGATATATTCTCTTTATCTGTTTGAATGTCAGGCTCCTTTATTAACACGTATGTGACGAGAGACAAGTTCGTTAGTGTATTTCTTCAGACATATTATGTAAATGCGATTTTCTCATAATATAACAACTGTTATTAAACCACTGTCCCACAAAACTAGTAAAAGGAAATCAAACTACTGGACTACTGGCGAATCTATCTCCAACAGCACTTTCTATTTATTTATTTATTTATCTATTACATTGAAATTTCACGAAAATATATCAGAAGAGCTTCAACTAGTATAAGTTGGAAGTGTTTTTTTATCAGGCAGCCCTAGTGTCTTCTTACGGAAAACGGTTAAGACGTTGTACAATATTTATTTGTCTGGGTAAGAATCTTTCCTTGTGGATTTAGATCTCAATTTTCACTATACACATGTGAAATTCTATTTCTGTAAGGATAATTTATTGATATCGGTATTATAAAATCAAAGTGAAAGTAAGTTCGATCGCTCTCTCTTTTGAATAATTTAGACGAAAATATAGAAAAAAGAGTGGTTTTCTTTCGTAATATTTACATGTGACAGCAGAGGGAATCCATAAATGTTTGGTTAGACGCCATAAACTAATATTTATACAACAGTATAAACAATTTTACAAGCCGTTTTCATATTAAGCCACAGCTGATCTGAAGCTCTATCAATAACTGTCATGCACACTACTTCAAATATCATGGTGTTAATCCTGAGGATGCTACCTTTTCGCCAGTACGTATTTTGAAAGGTTATCGTTTTCTGATTAGCGTACTATATTAAGGCTGATTAGCACTGTTATCGGAAACACTGCGTCAGTTACCCCCTCAATACAGACCAGTACGTAATATACACGGGTGTGGCATTTCAGAGACACACGCTACGGAAATAAAGCGATCAGATTCTATAAGTGGCAATAAAGGACTGCTTGCTGACGAGTTAGAAATTTGATATAGGGTCTTATAATATTATGGTCACAATACAGGATGGAGTAGATGGAAATTTATTACATATTCTTAAGATTAGTGATCATATGCTGTTTTGTCTACACGACATCATTACAAGTGTCGGTCCCTGTGTACTGAATCAGATGCTGGTTTGTATACAAAACATCATTACAAGTGTGGTGTTTTGTGTACTGAATCAGATGCTGGTTTGTATACAAAACATCATTACAAGTGTGGTGTTTTGTGTACTGAATCAGATGCTAGTGTGGTGTTTTGTGTACTGGTTCAGATGCTGGTTTGGACACAAGACATTATATAAACTGTCATGTTTTGTGTACTGAATCAGATGCTGGTTTGGACACAAGACATTATATAAACTGTCATGTTTTATGTACTGAATCCGATGCTGGTTTGTATACAAGTGTGGTGTTTTATGTACTGAATCAGATGCTGGTTTGGATACAAGACATTATATAAACTGTCATGTTTTATGTACTGAATCAGATGCTGGTTTGTATACAATACATTATATAAAATGTCATGTTTTATGTACTGAATCAGATGCTGGTTTGTATACAAGACACCATTACAAGTGTGGTGTTTTATGTACTGAATCAGATGCTGGTTTGTATACAAGACACCATTACAAGTGTGGTGTTTTATGTACTGAATCAGATGCTGGTTTGTATACAAGACACCATTACAAGTGTGGTGTTTTATGTACTGAATCAGATGCTGGTTTGTATACAAGACACCATTACAAGTTTCATGTTTTATGTACTGAATCAGATGCTGGTTTGTATACAAGACATTACATAAACTGTCATGTTTTATGTACTGAATCAGATGCTGGTTTGTATACAAGACACCATTACAAGTGTGGTGTTTTATGTACTGAATCAGATGCTGGTTTGTATACAAGACACCATTACAAGTGTGGTGTTTTATGTACTGAATCAGATGCTGGTTTGTATACAAGACACCATTACAAGTGTGGTGTTTTATGTACTGAATCAGATGCTGGTTTGTATACAAGACACCATTACAAGTGTGGTGTTTTATGTACTGAATCAGATGCTGGTTTATACAAGACACCATTACAAGTTTCATGTTTTATATACTGAATCGGATGCTGGTTTGTATACAAGACATTACATAAACTGTCATGTTTTATGTACTGAATCAGATGCTGGTTTGTATACAATACATTATATAAAATGTCATGTTTTATGTACTGAATCAGATGCTGGTTTGTATACAAGACACCATTACAAGTGTGGTGTTTTATGTACTGAATCAGATGCTGGTTTGTATACAAGACACCATTACAAGTGTGGTGTTTTATGTACTGAATCAGATGCTGGTTTGTATACAAGACACCATTACAAGTTTCATGTTTTATGTACTGAATCAGATGCTGGTTTGTATACAATACATTACATAAACTGTCATGTTTTATGTACTGAATCAGATGCTGGTTTGTATACAAGACATCATTACAAGTGTGGTGTTTTATGTACTGACGATAATATTTTCCCCTTTGACTACGATATAATTAATCCTCCATATCGTATTCCACAGGTTTTGCTACCTCAGCCGACGCTGTCAAGGAGTACGAACAAAGTCCGAGAAATGTGTGGGCTGTCGTGGAGTTTGAGGGGCAGTATTCCGGATCCTCTCTGCCGGCAGACATTACATATAGACTCCGTGTGGCCACCTTAGCAGATGAAAAATGGAGAACAGATAGGACTTTTCAATTTTACCAGCAATTTGGTCCACGACAACAATACACAAATACATCTGGCGACCCTTGTAAGATTTCAGCAGTTTACTTTCTGATACTTACATATTACTTAACCTTTGGACCAGCCTCGTATTAATCATAATAACGATAAAACACTCGGATTAAGTAGGCTTTTGTTCCCCGTCTAAAATAATTTGGTTGGGTTTTTAGCTATCATTTCGTCATTTCTCATAATTTGGTTCCCTATAATTTACTCTTTATGATTAACGGATAGAAATGTTTAATTGGGTACAAAATTATTTATTGGGAAGATGATGCTTGAATTTCTTTTTGGGTTATCGTTAACTACGTTTTTGGAAAGTAGGAGTCTTTTATTTTGAAGGTTAAGTTGTTTTTAAAGTAATGGCCATTTTTAAGAGCATTAAAAGCTCTGTTGGGGATAATGATACGGGTAGTTATGTTAATGCATCGTTAGCACCATATCAGGTCAGCTAAGTATTAATTAGCTTTGTCAATGTTGGTCAAAACTAATACCTGACGCAGTCTGAAAAGTCATGAGTAACACTGACAATGAAAAGTTCTGCAGTAGTTGGTTGCGGACGGGGCCATTCGTGCGCATGGACATATCTACATGTGTCATAATGTTCCAGTCCTAATCTACAAAAAGTCACTTTGATTGTCGTGATCCCTCCTTAAACTATAAGCATGATCATCTTCTAAAAGCTATCCTAAACGAATTGTGTTTATTTTTTTGCAATTGCCCGCTATGGCTAAAAGCGAACCAAAAGTGTTTTACTCCACAGCTCTCTTATATAGGAGCTATAGGGAGGTGGCCGAAAGAGGACAAATTATTGTCTTTAATCATACAGGCGATGTATTGTTTGAGGTATCGTTTACAGACAGACCACGCACACAGGACGACGTACGACACGACATCATTGAATTGATAGAACTAAAGAGCGGAAATGAATAATTAAAACTGAGTTAGTTGTCAAAGGACAGTGCGGCTTTAGTTGAACATTTCCATTGACCCAAACATGTGCTGTTGAACTGTCATAAAAATAAGTTTGATAACTTGCAAACTGCATTTTCTTTTTATTCTCAAAGTTGGGGACAACTTGCTTACAAATAACTTTGAAATCAGTGATGTCATGTGTACTGACAAATCAGCTACGATAATTTGAATATTTGTGCGATTAATCGTAGTGTATAATTAAAACATAAATACTTGTATGCTTGCTTCTTTTCTCCAGTCTACCAAGAAAGGGGGTTTCTGTATCTTCAGTACGCCATTGATAAGGCCATCATCGATCGGAAAAGCCCTGGAAACGGGTTAGGGAGTAAGTATACTGTGAGTCTGCGGAAAATGCCGTATCCGCCCTATGTGCAGGACACCCTACTCACCGTGCTGAGGTCGAGCTTACCATCCATTGTTCTCTTCGCCTTTATCGTGACTGTGTTTCAGACCACCAAAAATATTGTGTACGAGAAGGAAAATAAGCTCAAGGTGAGTACTGTGTCCCTTTGTAATCGTACCAAAATGATTCATCAACCACGGTTGTCCATATCCAGGATATACTGATTGCAAGTCTTCCGGATAAGAGGTGACCGAACTTTTGTGGGCCCAATGTATGTAATATTTTATCTGATATTTTCCATTTTTTTTAACATCTAACGGCCCTTCTGTTTATATGCGAAGGATACTGAAATGTCCATTTAACAAGCTATATGGGAAGTTACATCGTTTAATTTTTTGTTCAACGAAAATAAATTGTAAGCTAGGAATTGAATATTCTGATGGAATATTTGATTATTTTTAAACTTAGGAAACGATGAAGCTGATGGGATTGCATCCAATACTTTACTGGATGTCCTGGTTCACCAAAGTCTTTATCTACATGATCATCGCATGCTTCTTTTTCACTCTGATGATGTCAATTGACACGGGAGAAACCGGAAGTGTTCTACCAAAGTCATCACCCACCCTTATCTTTGTCTTCTTTCTTCTCTACACACTGGCGATCATTGCATTCTGCTTTCTGATGGCGTCAATATTCAGCAAAGGTAACTATGAAATGGAGACACTAAAAAATCTGCACAGAGAGAAAAGGGGAAACAATTCTTTAATATAATATTATAAAAATGAGGATATGATTACAAGACTGTATAATACAATGTGGAAAGTGAAGGGTTGGAAAACATGGTAGTATTATCATGAAGGAATAGTTTAGAGAGATTTGTGAATTATAATTGAGTTATACATGTACTTTGAAACTGGTTTAAATCTTGTAGATTTTACACATTTTCCGAATTCGTCAGATCATAACTTGCTTAACACACTACCAATCTCGTTCATTAAACTTTTATGGGAAAGATAAAACATTTCACCTAAAGGTAATTTATATGTTCCTATGATATGTGGTCCTATATAAAGCAATATATAATATAATTGAAAATGACGTTCAGTTTGCACTTCTCGGGAGTTACAACCCTTGTCACTATAATAAAAATATATATGAACCATGCATAGAGATATCGTACGAAGTCCATATGGTTAAAACAGTCATTATAGTATTATATCTTTTGTCTTATTACAGCCACATCGGCCGCCTTCGCCGCTGGTATCTTGTATTATCTCTTCTTTGTACCCCAGTACTTCATGGCAGATGACTATGAAACACTGAGTCGATCCGTGAAGTTGGCCGTTTCCTTGCTCCATCCTATGGCCCTAACGTGGGGTATTACTACGATCACCATTTACGAGGGTACAGGTAAGACGCAGGTCCTTAAAGGAGGATTATACAACATGTTATTAGCCGTTCAGTATTCGGTGAAATGTACTGAGATGGGTTTATCTATGGTACAGGCCGTGTTATGGTCTTTATGAATTCCATGTATACATACTTACCTACCTTTTAGTATGATAAGGTCAGGTTTATGCCACTCCAAACATCTTAATTGTTTACACTATCCCTTTAAAATGCTGCACAATGTCCCAAATAAATGCTGCACAATATCCCAATTAAGTTATTTACAATGTTCAAATTAAAGGATTCCCAATGTTCCAATTAAATGATGCAAACTGTCCCAGTAAAATTAATCCCTTTTGCTTGTACTTACCAGATTTTGGAGATAATGAACTCTGTGTTGTAATAAAGGAATGTTTAAAGGATTTAATCAAAGTCTTGTATTTCATGAGTTATACAGACTACAAAGAAAAGTTATTTTATGTTTAATGGGATTAACTATATTTTATGTTTAATGGGATTAATTATATTAATTTGTTTAGTGTAAATGATGGTTCATTGTTGCGATATAGATCACGTTCTATGGCTATTTTGTGATCTTGATGTTATTTTTGATATTTTCTTTTCGTTGATGTAATTCGACATTTAGAAAAAAAAGATAAAAGAAAAAATAGAATATCGAATCATAGTTATCCATTATTTGTGTTGTACAGTCAATATTAATCGCTCAAAATGTGTTTTCAATAGGTGCAGGCGCACAGTGGTCAAATTTTCACACTCCGGCCACCAAAGACGACAACTTCTCCTTAGGTTTGGCTATGGGGATGTTAGTTTTAGACTCCGTCATCTGCTTTTTCTTCTCCTGGTATCTGGACAATGTTAGGCCCGGCGAGTTTGGAATTCCCAAACCATGGTACTTTTTGTGCACGGTATGTGAACATCACATTTGTAAAGTTTACATCTACACGTTCGGAAACATTCAATTTGGGTTCTGTACATAATTTTTTTTTTAATTTGTAAATTTTAACCTGTTTAGAATCAGAGATATATTACATATTTATGGCAGAATGTACCTACATTTTTTACTCATGTCAATTATCGGCATTCTGCCATACTCTGAGATATACGAGTTGTTCAGCGGAAACGAATAGCCATCTATAAATGCCTGTTCACATACATCTGTTACAGAAAACGTACTGGTGCGGCACAGATGGGCAGGAGGACATGTTAGATGTAACTCTCGGTCATGTTAACCCAAACAAATTCGAAGGCGACCCTGCCGACCTCAACGTTGGCATCAATATAAGCCATCTTCGAAAGGTATCATTACGACCCGAGTACATAAAATATATCAATCGCATGTGTCTATTTTGTTAGGTTTAATCAGACGTTTCATCTGTTGTTCGTTTTTTAATTTAATATGTATTGTAGACAACGTCCACCATTAAAATAGGAAAATAAGGAACATTTCGGCATTTGCAGGTGTTTGGAAGTGGAAAGAAAAAAAAAGCAGCCGTGGTGGACACAACTTTGAATATGTACCAGGGTCAGATCACTGCTCTATTGGGACACAATGGGGCGGGGAAGACTACTACTATGTCAATGTTGACAGGTACGTGGAATTATTGTGGAAACTGTACATCTTATGTGAATTTGTACTTGTACTGTTTTATTTTTGTCGGATCCAGTCAATGCCGAGGCGCGAGTAAGAACTACAAAGTATAATATCTCCTCGGGCTTGTGTCAAATACTGCAATTTTAATCAGGCTTATAGACGTTTCCGATTGTTTTAAACACTAGCAGCTATTGAAAACTTTGAAAGGATTTTTTTAATGACTTTGAATTAATTGTTTATCCTATATTGTTCATAACTACCTGACGTATCTTATTTCAAAGCTTGAGCCGCTGTCAAACTTTTCGTTTTCGCACATTTGTCAAGAAGGCGAAAATAACACAGCGGGAAGTTAAATGATATATTATTTGTTATTCTTTTAGGACGAATTTAACATTGGGCGAAAACAAATATTTTCATGGGAAGGCGAAAATAACACTAGGTGAATTATTCACTGTTTACAATAGCATTAGTTCTTTTAATCATTAGGGTACACGGAAAATATTTTGAAATGCGAACACTGGAAGAGTACTTAAGGATATATCTATTCGTTTCGTTTAATTTGTGTGTTGATTAGTACAACAATGTTCTATGAATTCAGGATTTATACCTCCAACAAAAGGAACAGCCATTATAAACGGCTGTGATATTCGGAAGAATATAGATGGTGTTCGGAAGAGCCTTGGCCTTTGTCCACAACACAATGTTTTGTTTAATAATCTTACTGCAGAAGAACACCTATGGTTCTTTGCTAAGGTAATCCTTTCTTAATGAGTGATCAAACTGCATGTGGTCTTCATGGCGATTAAACTCATATGGAGTGTTATAACAAATACGATCACTAATTCAAGTGCTGTATGTATGTCTATATATCATAAACAAAATTGCAACATGAAAAAATTACATTCGTTTACATTAGTAAAGCATATATAGTTTGTCGCGAGTCCTTTGATGATTTTGTTAAATTCAACAGGTAGCTGTACATCCCCAATACCTTTCATCAATATTTGACCCAAATGTTACAGTTTAACAACTTTATCAAAGTTTGCAAATACTAACAATGTGTAACTTATAATAGCATAATAACTTACTGGAATATATTGTAACGTTTCGGAAATGCCCATGATCCTTCAGTTAAAAGGCTGTCCGGGGAATATTCTGAAGAAAGAGATCTCCGATATGAAGAAGCTGCTAGGGATGGAGAGAAAGGCGAATGTTCTGTCATCCAATTTGTCCGGTGGTCAGAAAAGGAAGCTGTCGTTAGGAATAGCACTAATAGCGGATTCTAAGGTAAGCCAGACCTGATCAATAGAAATTAGACTGAAGGAGAAGTCTAAGGTAAGTCAGACATGGTCAATAGAAGTTAGACTGAAGGAGGAGTCTAAGGTAAGCCCGACCTGATCAATAGAAATTAGACTGAAGGAGAAGTCTAAGGTAAGCCAGACCTGATCAATAGAAATTAGACTGAAGGAGGAGTCTAAGGTAAGCCCGACCTGATCAATAGAAATTAGACTGAAGAAGGAGTCTAAGGTAAGCCAGACCTGATCAATAGAAGTTAGACTGAAGGAGGAGTCTAAGGTAAGCCCGACCTGATCAATAAAAGTTAGACTGAAGGAGGAGTCTAAGGTAAGTCAGACATGGTCAATAGAAGTTAGACTGAAGGAGGAGTCTAAGGTAAGTCAGACCTGATCAATAGAAGTTAGACTGAAGGAGGAGTCTAAGGTAAGTCAGACATGGTCAATAGAAGTTAGACTGAAGGAGGAGTCTAAGGTAAGTCAGACATGGTCAATAGAAGTTAGACTGAAGGAGGAGTCTAAGGTAAGCCCGACCTGATCAATAGAAATTAGACTGAAGGAGAAGTCTAAGGTAAGCCCGACCTGATCAATAGAAATTAGACTGAAGGAGGAGTCTAAGGTAAGCCAGACCTGATCAATAGAAATTAGACTGAAGGAGGAGTCTAAGGTAAGCCCGACCTGATCAATAGAAGTTAGATTGAAGGAGGAGTCTAAGGTAAGTCAGACCTGATCAATAGAAGTTAGACTGAAGGAGGAGTCTAAGGTAAGTCAGACATGGTCAATAGAAGTTAGACTGAAGGAGGAGTCTAAGGTAAGTCAGACATGGTCAATAGAAGTTAGACTGAAGGAGGAGTCTAAGGTAAGTCAGACATGGTCAATAGAAGTTAGACTGAAGGAGGAGTCTAAGGTAAGTCAGACATGGTCAATAGAAGTTAGACTGAAGGAAATTAGACTGAAGAAATTAGACTGAAGGAGAAGTCTAAGTCTCAATAGAAATTAGACTGAAGGAGAAGTCTAAGGTAAGCCCGACCTGATCAATAGAAATTAGACTGAAGGAGGAGTCTAAGGTAAGCCAGACCTGATCAATAGAAATTAGACTGAAGAAGGAGTCTAAGGTAAGCCAGACCTGATCAATAGAAGTTAGATTGAAGGAGGAGTCTAAGGTAAGTCAGACCTGATCAATAGAAGTTAGACTGAAGGAGGAGTCTAAGGTAAGTCAGACCTGATCAATAGAAGTTAGACTGAAAGAGGAGTCAGACATGGTCAATAGAAGTTAGACTGAAGGAGGAGTCTAAGGTAAGTCAGACATGGTCAATAGAAGTTAGACTGAAGGAGGAGTCTAAGGTAAGCCAGACCTGATCAATAGAAGTTAGACTGAAGGAGGAGTCTAAGGTAAGTCAGACATGGTCAATAGAAGTTAGACTGAAGGAGGAGTCTAAGGTAAGTCAGACATGGTCAATAGAAGTTAGACTGAAGGAGGAGTCTAAGGTAAGCCCGACCTGATCAATAGAAGTTAGACTGAAGGAGGAGTCTAAGGTAAGTCAGACATGGTCAATAGAAGTTAGACTGAAGGAGGAGTCTAAGGTAAGTCAGACCTGATCAATAGAAGTTAGACTGAAGGAGGAGTCTAAGGTAAGTCAGACATGGTCAATAGAAGTTAGACTGAAGGAGGATTCTAAGGTAAAACACACTTGACCATTGGGAAAGCCAACGACAGAGCGTTCTAAGTTAAGGCACACATGACCATTGGAAAAAGCATTGCTAATGGATTCTTAGAGAAGGCACGCGTTATTATTGGGAAAAGGCACTGATAGAGTATTTTGAGGTAAGGCGAACCTGATCATTAAGAATAGAACTGATGACAGACTCTAAGGTTAGGTGACCCTGGTCATTGATTACTAGCACTGAGGGTAGATTCGGTGGTAAGGTGAACCTGATCATTGCGAATAGCACTGGGAGTGTATTCTTATTAAGTCTTGCGATTTAGTTAGATAATGGACCATTGAGAATAGCACTAAAAGAATATTGTAATGATGTTATTACTAACTTTTAGAAGAATCATGATACATAACTAGATCAAAGGGTCAGTTTTTAGCCGTTACAATGTGGGTTTTTTCTTTCTCAGAAAAGAAATATAGATATATACATATTGTTAATACAGTTCAAATTTGTATATGATACCTTAAAACAACATCTTTTAAATGACCAACATAGCAATTTGGGCCTGGTGTCCACATATGAGTAAGGCATTATTACACGTCATGCAAGTAGATCTGTACAAAGTGCACCGACTTTATAGGTCCTCATACTGGACGAACCCACCTCTGGGATGGACCCAGCTGCCCGCAGGGAAACATGGGAAATCTTGCAGAAGTACAAAGAAGGCCGAACCATTCTATTGTCAACTCACTTCATGGACGAGGCTGACATTCTTGGCGACCGAATCGCCATCATGGCTGAGGGTGTCATCAAATGCTGTGGAACATCCCTATTTCTTAAGAAAGCTTATGGTAGGAAACGTAATAAATCTTCAGGATACAATGTTATTTAATACTGTGAATTCAGTAACTTTCGCGGTGCATTTACAGTAATTTTGTTTATTTTACGATTACTCTTAATCCACGAATTCGTATGGCCGCGAACTTTTAAATAAGTATTATTAGATCAATTCCGCTTTAGTTGTCCACGAAATTAAGTGTTCAACATGTTTTTATTTTTATTTTTAACCGCGAAAATTGACCCCCTAAGAAATGCTACAACACCGTTCAGAACAAGTACAATATAAATTGGCCAAATTTGATATGTCACTATGCGAATCATAATACACTGTCGGCTGTCTTTGTATTTACCATATTGTTATCAAACTTCATTCATGTTAAAGACAAACTTTTAGCAGGAGGATTATCAATAATTTAGATAACAGCTATACATAAAATTATATATGATTGGCTAAGTATAGTGATTGATTTATGTTTGTTATATAAAAAGATAGTCCGAGCGTTACTTAATACTATGACTGGCTGATGGTTGTTGTCCTGTGATTGGCCGAAGTTGCTTTGCAATGTAATTTGACGATTTATTCTACTTACTGAAAACAAATTGATGTTTTAGGTGCTGGGTACCACTTGGTAGTTGTGAAATCAAAAACTTGTGACGTGAATCGGCTAACTAGTCTGGTAACGAGTCATATACCACGTGCCGTAGTTGAGAGCGATATTAGTGCAGAGTTATCCTATCTTCTACCGTTTGAAGAATCACCAAAGTTTGAGAAGCTTTTTGAGGATATAGAGAGTAACTCCGCATCTCTTGGTATCAGTAGTTTTGGCACAACTGCCACCACAATGGAGGAAGTCTTTCTTAAGTAAGTTACCTTGCCTGTTTCTACGTCAAGTTGGTATACTGAGTGTCTCAAAATTTTGAATTTAGTATCAACAATCCCAATGTCTGTTCATACTCTAGAATATTGTTTTTCTTATCAAATATTTAAATACAGTAATATGCTTTTTCATTTTCGATTTAAATATTGATTTCTTGGTTCTGTCGTATGATCATTATTTTTTTTTAATTACACAAATACTTAAATTGTTATGATCTTGCTAGCGATTCATCCCGATTTGATTTCAAGGCCAATTGAAATACACCTGTTATGATTCACATGTTTGTAGATGTAATCGAGTTGGCGCATACCAGTATATTTTATTAAGAACAATAATTTTGTAGTTTTAAAGTCATAACAATGCTAAAACCATGTAAATTGGTATGGTAGGGTTGGCGAAAGTTCTAAATCCGAGGACGACGAAGACGAAGATGGAAAAAATGGTCACTCAAATACCACCTTTGTGGTCGAAAGGGATTCCATGTTGATGCAGCCTACAACTAACGGTGCACTCTCAACAAGTAAGGCTTCTCTCACAGATATAGGTCAATGTAGGTTTTTTTCCTCTAGTTATCCTTGAACTGATTGAGTCCACTCTCTGCTGTATTACAGGGGCTTATCGATATTCAGATCCACTATGACTGTTGACTATATGTGGTTATTATTCTCATTCTTTTTGTAATACCTCGATTATTTTATGAAGGTTGGATAATTGATTTTGATGATGATATCAAATGGAATGATTGCAATTACAATATCCAAATCATTATCAAGACTTTCAGAAGTACTGTTGATACCATTGACAATCATATAAAGTATTTAAAAAAATTCTGGAAATATTTTTTATTAAAGTTATGTATAAATTTATGCCGAGATGTGTTTAAGTTTGGTCTCATAATACATGTGTTTCTCCCAGATATTTACGAGACGTTTGAAAAGAACACTGGCTTAAAAAGAACTTTTCAACAATTTTACGGAATGTTTGTGAAGAAGGCCATCAACACATGGAGAAACAAAGTCGTGACTATAACTCAGCTGAGCCTTCCAGTGGTATTCACCGTGCTGGCCTTCCTGGCTATACAGGAAAGTCCTAGTCAGCAAAACACGACTGCTGAACCTTATTTGAAACTTGATCTCGCACCTTTTGGCTCTGATTCCACAGTTATGTATAAATATGGTGAAAATCTTGATCCGGAAACGCTTCGAATCAAAAATCATTTCTTGAATCTGTTTTCCACCTATTCTACGGAAGATGCAAAAGATTTTAGCTCTTTGGAAGATGCCTTTCTGTCGAAAGCAGCTGCCATAGGAATCGCAACATTTAATGAGCGTTATATCGTTGCCGGAGACTTTCCAAACAACAGCTCCCCATTGACAGCCTATTTCAATGGACAGCCTTTCCACTCTTCGGCTGTTGCACTGTCTTATATGATGAACGCATTATTGAGAGGAATCCCAATTTCCAGCAATGACTCTATTACGACAATAAACCATCCACTACCACCCACTCTCACCGATCAGAGCGACAGAGCAAGTGTCACGGCTTCCGCTGGTGGATTTACTGTCGCTCTGCTCGTCTTATTCGGGATGGCCTTCCTCTCCACAAGCTTTATTCTGTTTCCCATCAAGGAACGTTCTACTGGTGCCAAACATCTGCAGACAGTTAGTGGTGTTAGCTCGTTTGCTTACTGGCTATCCAACTTCTGCTGGGACTTGCTGAACTACCTATTTGTAGCAGTCTGCATAGTGATAGTGTTTGCGGCGTTCCAGTCCCCAGCCTATGTGGAGGACGGTCGAATCGGCTTAGTTGTTCTGGTTTTCTTTATATACGGAGTTTGCTGCCTGCCATTTGTTTATTTTCTTCATTTCCCCTTCTCAACACCGTCCACGGGTATGGCAGTCATCACCATCCTCAACATAATCTCAGGTAAATGCCGACATGCGTAGGTTGTCCCGTTTTCCCTGCCCTAATTTTCTTAGATAAGCACATCCTCTTCTTGCGGATAGAAATTAAATATTTAAGTACCAACTTATCCCAAGAGGCACCTATGATACATAAGAACTTTCCATGTATCATATTCGTGTTATTTTTAATCATAGATTAAAACTTTGTTTGCAATAAGATATCTCTGACGAAATATCTACGAATGACGTCATTGCCTGCTATCAACACGGTGTTATATTGTTCAATAATCTCCCCACTTTCCATGCTTTGTCCGCCAGGTATGATTGCCCTGTTGGCTGTTTTTATCCTGGAACTTCCTGGCCTTGGCACTGAGGATGTGGGAAGAGCCCTTAACTGGGTGTTTACTGTTCTGATACCTCACTACTGTCTGGGAAGGGCTTTGAACAACATCTACGTCAACTACCAACATACCCAGACTTGTGAAGAGTTTCAGTATCGAACAACGTGTTTGTTCAAGAATGATGGTCCGTGTTGTTCAGGTAAAGTCTATTTCTTACGATCTGTGCACGATCTTCAATTTACTAAAATGATTTCCTTTTTTAATCTTTTGAAAATTTTGAAAAATTTCACTTTTTATAAAGACATATCGCTCGCCAATTTTCCCTTTTTGAATTAGCTTTTGATATTATCCTTTCCTGTGTTTGTAGGTTGTACTTCGAACTGTCTTGTATTCAGCGAAAGCTACCTGGTATGGGATTCTCCTGGGATACTGAAGTTTATCGTCTTTATGGCTCTCCAGGCTGTTTTCTTCTTTGTCGTCGTGTTGGCTATAGAGCATGGTGTACTTGGTAAGCTTCTTTACTGCGTCTGCAGTAGTTGTGGACCACCTCAGTCGGATGAGGAGCATCAGACTGGCGAGGCGGAAGACAGCGACGTTAAAGCTGAAAGGGAGAGAATCTGGAATTCGCCTCTCACTAAACTGATGGAGACAGACGCACTCATCATTAAAGGTCTGTCGAAGTCTTACCGTCGTGTTAAGGCTGTACGAGGGATCAGTGTGGGAGTTGCCAGTCAGGAGTGTTTTGGACTCCTTGGACAAAACGGTGCAGGGAAGACCACTACATTTAAGATGATCACTGGTGATGTGTTCGTAAATAACGGGAATGCCTACCTGAACAGTTTCGATGTGAAGCGACACCTTAAACAGGTACAAATGTGCTGTCTAAAGTTGTCATTAGATATCACATATCTCACTTCACATGGCGTTTAATATGTAAGTTAAGCAATGACTCTGCCTATCGATACATCATTAAGTGAAAGTTTATGGCACAATATTTTTAATTTCGATTATGATTTTGTTTATACATTTTGGAATCCTTCGTTGTTTCAATGTTTCAAAGTGCCAGAAAAATACCCTTGACTAGACCTTAATTCTACCAAATAACTCTTGTTGATAATTTCCAAGTATATATTGATAACTAACAAATACAATACAAACACTTATTTCCAAACTTTAGAAGATTTTCTATTTCCATATTTTATATAATCCGATGTTACAAGTGTAGCAGTTATCATAGAAATGTCATCAAACAATGGAATGGCGAGCGATTTATATTTGTATTACTTATTTAAGTATACATCTACGGTAAAGTTTCTGTCAGTATTTGACAGACAACTCATAACAGGATTTAGACAGATGCAGCTTAAGGAAGACTATGAGGAATGTCATACCTAATGATTATCTAAGAACGTGACAATACGAGATTGATCGAGATTTACAGGGCGGAAGTCGTCGATGAAACAGATGAGGGTTACCATTTTGGAACGCGTTGTCTTACATTACTTTTACTTTCAAGAGTCTCCGTGATAATCTTTTTTTGTTCTTGATTTCATCGAATTTGTATTTTAATTATAATTATGTTGTCATATAGGTATTTTCTTGATTGTTTTGCATCGTGAGATGTCATGAGCAAAAGAACTTACTTCGTATTTTTGTGTTGACAATTCAGGTCCAACAGAATCTCGGCTACTGTCCACAGTTTGATGCCCTTATCAGCCAGATGACAGGCCGCGAGACGCTGAACATGTACGCCAGACTTCGTGGGGTACCAGAAAACCGTATAAAGGCCGTAGTAGATGATCTGATAAACGCCACGATGCTGACAAAATATGCTGACAAAAACTGTGAAATGTACAGGTATACAGATACAGGAAACATTGCAGTTAACTTAGGAATATATGTTAATAATGATATTATCATGAGAGTTGAAAACGTTTATCAGAATGGAAGTACAAAGGTTAGTATTGTTAAAGGGTATGTGTGTGGGGAGGGGGGATGTGAAACAAAATGACAGTAATGACAGTAGGAACATAAGAAAGGCTTGAGGATAGGAAATACAGATACCTATAAGTAAGATGTGGAGGGGGAGAGGAGGGGTAATAATTGTACGACCATCCATACCAAATAATATTTACAACTCATGCACAATACCACTTTCCACTATATCGTATTATTTTACACCAGCGGAGGTGATGATATTCCTACTCGTATTTCATTTTCTTTTTTTAGTGGAGGAAACAAAAGGAAGCTGAGTACAGCCATCGCCTTGATCGGGGATCCGCCGTTCATACTATTGGATGAGCCGACGACAGGAATGGATCCTGGAGCTCGACGGAAACTCTGGAATTTACTGTCTGACGTCAGAGCAAGAGGAAGGACACTTGTGCTTACGTCACATAGGTAGGAAGTGTTTTATAGAACAGAGATATCAAAATATGCTTTGAATTTGTCTTAATTATGTTAAACGTTTTGATATTTTCAACATGACTTTGAAACACAACAGCTTCTCAATAATTGTGAGAAACGGGATAAAAATGTCAAAATAATGTTAACACTAACATGAAAGTACTTTCATAACCCAGATCCCGTTATAAGATAGTTTCGTTTTGATGTTTTATTTGATGTGATTATCATTCTTCTCTAGATAGTTCCATAGAGTTTACATGACGAAGTTCAACTCATTTTTCAGCATGGAGGAATGTGATGCTCTTTGCACCAAGATTGTAATCATGGTCAACGGGAAGTTTGTCTGCCTAGGCAGTCCACAACATCTCAAGAGCAAGTTTGGACAGGGTTACACACTCACTGTCAGGCTTGGCTTGTCATCAAGCGGTGAAGCAATATCATCAAATGATGTCATAAATCACGTGCTGCAACATTTTCCAAACACAGAAGTATTTGATGACTTGTATCAAGGTTATCTGAGTTTCCAGATACCCGAATCTGGCATACCCTTAGCGAAAATATTCGGGACCATGGAAAGAGTCAAAACTCAATTTGGTATTGGAGATTACTCTGTACAGTCAACAGCTCTGGAGCAGGTCTTTCTGGCCTTCACAAGAAACCAGGTCTCAGCAGACGACAAGAAAAAGAAAAAGCGTTGCTGTTGTTGTTAACTTATACTATACAAACTTGCGCTTCGTGTTATTGTGAATTCATAAACGTGAGGTAGATAGGATAAAATCTCATTTTATATGATGTGAAAGCACCTCAATATATAACCATGGACAGAACAGTGCAATGTTACGATAGAAAAGAAAATATGATGGACGTAACTTTGATGGTGCTGATAAGATGAGTGAAAATGCACGTGTATTAATACCCAAAGTATTTTCATTGCTAGTGCATCAAAATGAATTACTGTTGCTGGTTTTTTTTCTGTTTTTTTTTTTTTTTTTTTTTGATAAATATTTCATTATCCTCCCATTCCCTGTATTGGACTTGGGCAGGTCTCAATCCCATGAGCATTCCTATAATATTTTTAAGTAAAGCATTTTCCCCATTAGAAAGCATTAATGGCATTTCAATAAATACTAAAGTTAAGTTAACAACTGAATCGCTCCGACATGCTTATCACGTTGAAAAATTTCAATTAATGATCAGAGCATAAGTTTAAATCTAATTTTTGCAAACTAAACACAAAAGGATTGGGACGACAAAAGTTGTATCAACTTACTTACCTGCATTCCGACACAAACAGATAATACAAAATAAGTTTATGGCGCAATAGAATTTGATTTTTAGACGAAAGCATTTCAAGTTTAAGGTAAACTCAGGATTAGGGACACGGATGTTTGAAATATGTGTGCAATATATGTGTTTTTTAGAGATCGCGCGTGCGATTTTCTTAATCTTGTTGGTATAAGTATAAAACTCTTCTAAGCACATATGTATCCTTCTACTTTTCTGACGTCCATCACATTCCATGCCTCGAACTGGATTTTAATTTGATCACTCATAGTCCGTCAGAGGATTCCGGAATTCCGTTACTATATATATAGATATACTTTGCCGGCCAGATCAGGAAAACCAGACTATTTCTAATGTAAGACTGAGACAGGAATGAATGTGATGAATAAACGATAACAGTGAAGGTTATACACAGTTGGTGTTGTGTCGAAGGAGATGGGAATGAGAGAGAAGTGAAGAGAAAGGGGTTATCCAATCTGACTCTCCGCTATTATAAAATAAAAACAACTTCTAGAACTAAAAATAATGACTGTACAGACCTAACAACAGAATGTTTAGATTGGTGTCATGAAATGGATCTGCGAAGAGAAAGTATTCCACGGCATTTTTGCCATATTAGACGAGCGACTGAACTTAGATAGTAGACAGAAGAGTAATATCCGCAGTCGCGAGTCGTCCCGAAGGGGAGGGGGGTGGGGGGGATGCGGGGTCTTTATAAAGATCATAGTTTAAAGAGCTACTGCGGTTTTTTAGTTGACAATGAATAATGTTGACTTTTTTAGACTCATATTCAAGAAAGAATTTGATTGGCATAATGATAGTGTCTTGCGGTGGAAGAAGAAATTCAAACCGTTTAATGGATTTGGATGACATCGTTTCAGTAGGTAAATTGTTCAGGAGTCAAAACAAATATTTGGTAGGAAAGATGACTTGTGACTTAGAACATTAAAGAAAGTCAGATTTGAAAGTCCTTGTAAGTGAACATAGTAAAGACGTCATAACATTGAACTGTGCACAGGATGAGTATTCTTGATATTGTGAAAGAATTTTTTACGTAAATATGAAGAACCCAGGTATAAAAAATAAGTTTAATATCAGATTTCGGTAGTTGTAAGCTATAACAGTGATTGATGAGACCACCTGAACGATTTTCCTTCTGAAAGTTATGGGATTTGATTCAGGCATATATTATTGTTGTTCCAAAGTTGTTGTCAGCACCGTGTTTCAACATTTGTGATATCTGGTGAACGACATACAAATGATATATATCTCTATATATATGTTCGTTTTTATTGTTGATAAAACATTATACGTCCGGTGTTGGTCCGTTGGTTGTTTACATTTGAAATTGATAGTATTTGATGTGAATTTCCTTATTTATAATTCATTATAAGTGTTATATCTGTATTAAATCATATCTATTTTACACTGTTCAAATAGACCTCGGCGCTTCTCACAATCTGACTTAAACGATGTCTTGTTCTATGCTTCCGTTTCGTAACCGTCCGTCTGTTACGTCAGCAGTAAGAGGTTTACCAAACAAGAGGCGTACATGTAACATATCAAAAGTGAAGTTAACGAAACGAACGCGTATTTCAAGATATAGTTTAAATAAATTTATGCTCGGGAAAGATTATCAAGAACCATATCAAGAAAGAACTCTATCATCAAGTTATATATATGTATGTTTATTCTATATTATTGATTAATATTTAAATAGATATTCTTACATGGTTTGCATTTGTATGAGAAGGCGTTTACTTTTCAAAAGGAGAATATAAAAGAAAATTATATTAGATATATATGTGATATTTTATTTCTAACTCTTATAGTATTTTTTTATAATTTGTTTACAATGTAACAAAACATTCCTTATTAACATTTTGGCCTTAATGCCTTATTGCTTGAAACTTTGTAATTCTTCTCTAAATGAAAACAGGTTGATACCACCTGTCGCAGTAATGATATTTGGTGAATCAAGGTTAAAATTAATTTGTAGTTGTAGAAACGTCCAGCTGTTTTATATTATTCATAGAATCTCACAGTTTGAAATCTCACCATTTTTATAAAGTGAATTCTTTATATTTTGATGTCGGAGAGGCAATTAGTAAATCGGGTATATACACGACAAAATGTTTATTTTGTAATCCTTGTACACGGTGTCAATGAGATTTACTATTTATTTTGATTACCGTTACGCTGTTTTGAAACATTGTAATAAGGGTTTTGAGTATATACTGTTTATATATGATACTGGCAAAATCATTACCCCCCTAGTGACCAGCGGTCAAGAGGATATAATGATCTCCCTGTAGGTACATCTATGTATTTAAAGTTTAGTTACAAACAAAGTGTATATATATATACGAAAACACAGATATATGCTTATTAAACACCCTTACGCAAGATGATGTAAGAAACATATATCTACACTATTTACAAACAGTAAGATGAATAATATATTAAATATACAACTAGTGAAAACAGATCATATGAGATCAAAGTATCGATATCCCCCAATAGAACTATGCCATGATTTAAACCTTGTAAATGTATATGTCTTCACCATTTCACTTAGTCGCCATAACTCCTCTTCTTCGATGGAAGTACTGTTCGGACACAGTTGTGTGTCTGTTCCTAGATAAATTAACACTTTTATCATCTATGACGAAGTTCATTTCATTTGTGTAGATTAGCGAACTAGATTAGGAATAAAACGATTGATTACTCGAGAATCAGTGGTTGTTTCGAGTTGTATCCGTCCTCTTACTAGCTGGGATGCTTCTAGTACCTAGTCTAGTTGCTAGCCTTATTCACTGTCTACATTACTGAAGTATGTCATTGCGGAAAAGACACAAAAATGAATCAAACATTTTAAACAGTATTTGTTCATTTACAATTCATTATAATTTAAGAAGTAAATCACAATGATATATGTAGGTGTTGTAACACATATGATTAACAGTTCGGTGTGATATACTGGTATAAAACAAGAAAAACTCGAAAACAAGTGTATCATGAGCTTATTTACGGTGTTTTTTCAGTACAAATGTTTCAGTATTGTTTTTTACAGATGCAACGCATCTAACGTATGCATTCAGTACCAAAATAGTATATGTAATTTAAAGAAGTTGCATATACAAAATTGTTTAACTTATTCAAAACCATTATAAATTATTATTTCAAGTGCATATATAGAAGTATATTTCGGCAGTCATAAAAGTTGTCGTAACTATTTGAAGGTTGGTTGTTAGGTTGTTACTATGTTTTTTGGATATACATCGCGGTTTGAGTCTACACTTCTTTTTTCTATGCGAAAGGGGGGTAACTGTTTAAATCCTGCCAATTCACTAAAGCTCCGTTCGCTGGGAGCTCCGCGCTTATCTTCGGTAACTGCCATCTGTAATTTTACTATAGAAAACATGTGAGCTTTTCATGACATTCTTATCGTCTTCAAATCATAGACATACAGAGATAATCAAAACCTGTGTCGTGCAGCGATTTCTGTTTGTAATTGATTATGCATGATGATGTGCGAGTTATACGAAAATTAGTCTGTCCTACCTCTCTGTACTTCAGTATAGTATTACATCATCAGATACCATAACTGGTACCGAAGTTTGTAATGAATATCAAATTATGGTAATGAGATTGGAAATACAAAGTCGTTAAAGAAAAAACAGTATATTGTGTATATGATAAAAAAAAATGACAAAATATCAATTCAATTTGTCATAAGGAAATAAAAACATACTGAAAACCTTAAATAATTCATTCAAATTTAAATGGTTTGAAACAAATATTACAAAAACAAAAACTTTATTTAAAAAATACGATTTCAGTTCGTCACAGTAAGAGCACATCTGACACCGGTTGTTCTAAGATTGGTTACAGATAACTAGTGGTAAGTGATTTTCTTTTCCAAAAATGAAATTAACAAAATTGGAAACATTTGTATTATTTCACTGCTGTAGGTTTGATGAGACAGGTCAAACTGATATATATTTGTGTCATAATTTTGAATTCAACACACTTGTTTGTTTAGTGGCAGCAATTTGATTTTTTTGCTAAGCACTGCTTAATTCTAACTAACTTTTGAAAATCCTTTGTGGCCTGATTTCCTGGGTATCTTATTTCCGGTTCAAGGCTTCGGAACTTTTGTTATTTTCCGTTGAACCTCAGTATTCCGAAGGGTTCCTATCGGGAAGGTGATATTTGTAATAACCGTATCCTTACTGCATTATAACTTCATTATTAAGTACTTGTGATATTTATTTAAATGTCAAATTGAATTCATATTATAAAATAATTATTTGCATGTCATTATATTTGAATGTTTATGATTTTTTTCTCAAATTGTTATCATGGTTTGCTAACAAAATTTTAAAAATCACGATCAAATTGATATGTACATCTGGTAAATCTA